CAGTGTAAGACATTATAAAGGACCGATGGTCCTGTGCTCACACAGTGTAGAACCTTCATATTTACAGAAAATTTGACATTTTTACGTCAAAATCAGCAACTTCTCGGAAACCGGGCGAACTTGGGAAATGGCGATGATAGGTCAAATAGGCATTTTGGATATGCATAAAATGAATGTGGATATGACTCAATCCGAATAGCAGTTTTAATTTGTGCGGCCAATGTTGACGGACGGACGGACCAACGGACGGACGGATGCCTGGTCGATCCCATGGGCCCGCTGTGTGAGCCAATAAAAATCATTGTTTCGTCCTATTTTGGTGAAAATATGAAAAAATAGTGAAAACTAAGTTGTTAAAAATATAGTATTTAAGTAATCCTTTGCTCTATTCTTAGTAACAGACTGGATTCAAACTAATGTCCTAATATTTTCTGAAACCGCTCAGGTAGAATTCTGAAATATGCAAATAATATGCAGAAAAATAGTCCAAAATATTCAGTTTCAGAATATTGGGATAATCCCTTAACCAGTTAACCTTTGATATATATATACCCTTGTTTCATTCCAAGGAATTGGATACTGGGAGGAAAAATGATATTTTATTTAGTTGGTTAAAGGTAACAGTGTTGGGTCCCTTAGTAATTTCATGAATCTGTCGTTCAAAGCATTATTCTATTGGCCAGCCATGCACCTGCGACAAAGCGGCACCATCAGAGACTCTTACGCCTCACGCTCGTGACGATTCCAATATCATGGTATATATATAAGTAACTCGACAATAGAGTGCTGTGTTTAAAGAAAAACTTGAGCAAATAAAGTTGGACACCTGTAGTGACTTAACTAAATTATATCGTTGTTCATAACAGATATTCGGAGTAATTTGCTTTGAAGGGGCAATAAGCCGGGTCATTATCTGTAATTTCTTAATAATTGTCACACAATGAGAAAGTCTTCAAATGTTGACATGTATACCAATAAACTATTTATTCTATTCAGGTGGATAAAGGACCACTTAGTGGCTCGTTAGTTTATTAACATATACGGCACGAGTCTTCATTGACGACTCCTCAATACCCCAAACGTGCGTAACGTGGTATCAACCAGGTACATCACCCCCCCCCCCCTCCCCCTTCCGTATCCCCCAACCCAGATCACTACCACTGGGCTGAGAAAATCATAATGGCCATAACAAGTATAAATAAAAAGACAAAATTCTATGAATTTTGGATAAGGCAACGTCCTTTCCAGGAAAAAGCTAAATGAACACATATAGATGGCAGATAAGTTAAAGACAAAAATCTGGCTTCATTAAAATATGCTATGCTATAACCCTACTATCACACCAAACTAGTTCTCACTACGTTCTCGAAAACGGGCTTCAACTGTGTACGAACGGACTGGACGTACTAAGAACCGTTTGGGGTCTATTTACAAACTTCATCGAACGTACTCGAACGGGTAGGTCCTCTAGAACTTAGAACATGCTCAAAATTTTCTCGTGGTCGATACGTTCTACAATTAGAACGAGTGACAACGTACTAACAACGAGCTGGACGTACTACGAACGGAACCGTCGTACTTCAATCCTACTAGGGACGTTTTAACAACGAGTTGAACTGTCTGAGGACGTATTGAGAACGAGGTTGAACCAATTGCAAACGTGTTTAAACTGATTAAGAACGTATTTAAGACTGCTTATGAACGAATTAGCAAAAATATAGCTATCACACCAAACAAGTTGCCACTGCGTTCTTCAAAACTGGTTTTAAACTGTGTGCGAACGGAATGAACGTAGCTGCAACTTTCTAAGGTCTATTTACGAACTTCATGGACTTTCCCGGACGGGGAATGTGATTTAGAATTTTGAATCGATTCAAAATTCGATGGCGACCATACCGTTCTGTAATCAGGTCATGATGACCTTTTAGACTAAGGGACGCGTTATACGCCGTTGCACACCGACGCGGTGCGACCTGAACGAACTGCGAACGAGATGGACGTATTGAAGACTGTTTATGAACGAAGTAGCTAATTATTTTAGACATACTTCCCGACCACAGCCAGATTGAGCCCGTTTTACGACATTTTCGTAGGACTGGCAAGAACGGGTAAGAACTAGTTTGGTGTGATAGGGGGGTAAAACAGACACTATTTAACCCTATCACACCGAACTAGTTCTCACTACGTTCTCGAAAACGAGCTTAAACTGTATATGAACGGATTGGGCGTACTTAGAACTATTTGAGATATATTTACGTAATGAACGTACTCGAACGGGTTGGTCCTCCAGAACTTAGAGCTTGCTCAAAATTTTCTAGTGGTCGTCACGTTCTTCAATTAGTGACAACTAACTAAGACGATTTGAGCGTACTCCGAGCGGGACTGTCGTTATTCGATCTTACTAGGGATGGAACTGTCTGATGACGTATTGAGAACGAGGTAGAACTACTTGCAAACGGGTTTAAACTGACGTATTAAAGACTGCCCATGGACGACTAAGTAAAAATATAGCTATCCTACCAAAATAGTTGCCATTGCGTTCTTCAAAACGTTGCCGAACTGGTCTAAAAGTGTGTGCGAACGTAGCTTCAACTTTCTACTTTCTTCAAACCTACTTCAAACGAGATGACATACGAGACTAGGAACGTAATTGCCATACTTCGACTCTACTAGAGACGCGTTAACGACGTTGTGCAATGGGATGTCATTGCAGTACGTGTGTAATGTACACCGACATGGTGCGACCTGAACGAACTGCGAATGAGATGGGCGTATTGAAGACTGTTTATGAAGCAGCTTATTATTTTAGACATATTGCCCGACCAAAGCCAGATTTAGTCCGAGTTCCATTCCTGCTAAAATACAACAGTTATGTTTCAAATGGCACCGTCTGGGATGCTAAATATTTGTAGAAAATAAATTCTAGCGTAAACAAGATTGAAGAGTGGGTCTTTTTAATTTCTTCCTTAAAGGCTACACCTGTTCAATATACATGTAACATGGACATGTCATAACAAGCCGTCCTTTGGTAATTAACACATTTATTTATTAGCTGATTACTCCTACCAGTTATTTTCAGGGATTGCAACATTTCTATTTAATTTGACAATTGACGCTCTTATTCCATCAAATGAACTTTTTGAGGACCTTGTATCTACATATTCTCGGATTATAGATCCTAAGGTTTATTGCCATAACGTATCATTCGAACTACTCTTTGAATTTAGATAACACATTTTACAGTAAAACAAAACTTAAAAACGAATATACGCATGTCACGTATTGCCAGATTGCGTAGACTTGTTAATCAACAGACTTCACGAGCGTCTATAGAATTAAAGTATATATCGTCAGAAGTTAGATTTGCTATCCGATTATGATGTACAGACCAACATTTAACATTTTAAACATTTTAATGGTGAAGTATGAGGACTATCAGGATATCGAAAATATAAACGTTTGAATTAGGATGCTTTCAAGGAAGATGGACTCATCATCGACACCAAGCTTAAACTCACTTAATAGTCAGGAACTGCTGCGGATCGCCTGGAGAGATCTCTTGAAACAGTCTGGTCATACTTCGGGTATGTCACATTTATCTCGCAAAAGTATTTTCATAGAAAAAATAAATTATGACCTGGGGTCGTCATTTGACAGATTAGTTTAAAAATAAATCAGTGAATGAATACGTTATATATACTTTATCGAACCGGATTGTTATAATATGATTTTTTGCTGTTTTCCCCCAGTCACACCAAACTAGTTCCAAAGACAGTCTTGAAAATATTGCTTTGTGCGAACAGACTGGATGTAGTTGGTCTATTACGATCTTTTATTAACTTCATGGATGGAAAGTGCTTCGAGTTTGCCGAAACTTTTTGGCGGCTTCTCTGTTTTGCGAGCGACAACATACTTCAAACGAAGTGACATACTTAAACCCCTATCACACCATACTGGTTCTCAACTGTTCTTTCCAGTCCTTGAAAAAATCGTAAAACATCAGCATACAAAACTTAACCAAATACGACACTGGTATTTCCGTTATAAAAGATTACATCACATGGCGGCCATTTTGATAAATGGCAGCCATCTTGAAAATTTCTTCTTGAGCAGACCTCCTTTTCTCTATAAGCACCAGCATATAAAATTTTAACCACTGTCCACTGGTGTTTGAATTATTAAGATTACGTTTTTACGAAAAATGACGGCCAACTTAGAATTTCAGCTGTCATCTTGAAAATTTATTCTTTGAACCTATTCACCGGCATATAAAATTTGAGACAAAAACGTCCACTGGTATCTTAGTTATCAAAGATTACCTTTTTAAATAAATCATTTTCAAATTCAGCTGCCATCTCGAAATTTCTATGTTACAACGAATTGGGAATTGGTAGTTCTCACTACGTTCTCGAAAACGGGCTGAATTGTATACAAACGGATTGGACGTACTAATAACAGTTTGGGATCTATTTACAAACTTTGAACATGAACGTTCTCGAACGGGTATTATCCTGTTAGCCGACAGACCTAACTCACCAAATTGCGTCCTCGATCCGGCGTTACTCCGTGCAAATACGTCAAAACAAATTCAAAGGTCTACTCTTTTTAGTAGGTACATGGACGTTTTGTTGTAGGGTAAGGCTCTTATACATGATGCATTTTCACAAATAGATAGGCATATATAATATATCAGATTCTAGCTAATCAGAAATTCAGTAACATGCATTCTGTATTTTACAAAAGAGTGAATGGTTCTTTTTAGAATCAGTGAAGTTCATTAATTTCACAATTTTAAATTGGCTTTTTACATCTGACTTCTACATACTTCTAGTAAGTTTTCTAATAAAACAAATGGTAACAAATTCGAAAAAGATACTGATATTAATTTCTGGGCGCATGACATAATTCATCTGTTTCTATAACAACAACAATAACAATAGTATACAAAACAACACGTTGCCATAGTGACATCATGTGGTGATATAATGCATGAGCAAAATTTTTCAACTTTGATAAGTCAACTTTAATATGTCGACGCTCGAGGATGCTGCAAAGAATCTCCAAATTTTCAAAATGGATGAACATGTAAATCAAACCGAAATAATGGATACAGATCTCGTATATTCATCTATGTTATGTTGCAGAAATGTTGGTAGGTTTTAATCAACTTGACTAAAATAGGCATAGACTTGAAAGAAAATGGCGAAATGCACAAATATGAACATTTTTCTTAATTTCATTTCCCTTTGGAAGACTTTGGATATGGGGTGTATCCAGAGGGAGATATGCATATCTACCTGAGGATAACTGCATATCTCACGAGGGATGAACCCAATATCCAAACCGACCGTACATAACTGCTATCCTATACCAAGTAGAGTTTCCAGGGGCATATGGCCATTTCAATAGTTCAAGGTGTAAAAATAAACAAATTATTCATATGCAAAGTCATTTTATTGCATTACCAGAAGCGGGAAGATATGCACCGGAAGCGGGAAGATATGCACCGAAGCGGGAGATATGGCGGGAGATATGGAGGTTCTGGATATGGAAACCTCAGGAAAATCAGGATATGGGATATATCTTACCAACTTATCTCCCTAAAACTCTACTTGGCATAGGATAAATCTGCATACCGAGGGAAATATTCACAGTTTTTAGAAGCCTTGAATACTGCAGTCATGTTCGAATTGCCAGTAAACGATGAGTAGTACAGAACGCAGCCGTATAACGTCAAAAATGTTACATTTATCTTGAGACAATCATTATAAAATTAACAGAGAAACAAGATCTCGAGGGCAATATTGTGTGATTTTGAATTTTGAAAAACAATTCACTAAAAACAAAAATCGGTATGCTTGAAGTTTTAAGTAAAAGGTGAATTTTGCCTGAACAATATTGTGCAGTTAATTATTTTTTAAATCAGAACTAGAACGTTAAATAAAGGTAAACTTTCCACTCATCCCCTTTACCTTTAAGACCTCACACAATTTTGAAAATATCAAAAGAGTTCATGTATGGAAATTAGAATTGTGGCCGCTGCACATGTGAGGTTGTAAGATTATTAAATCGAAAATTATCCCAATATCTGCGGATATGTTTTGCAACGTATTTGACGAGTTCGTATATTTAACTTTAAAAATATGTTCGATCAAAACAATTTTTTCTAGAAAAAAGTGTCACTGAAAAGTGAAAAGCATAGAAAATTACTTCAAAATGATATATAAAGCATATGTTGGGCTTTTCGAATAGGGCGGATATTAATGCTCAAAGCAGGCGCAATTAGCTCTGTTCCCAGAACAGTACACGTCATTGTCGTTTTATTTATAGGAATGAGGTATTTGATCTTACTCAAATCTTTTCTAAAAAGTGTATTTGCGCAAAAAATGTTTTCGGGACATTTCTCAATTCTGATTTAAATACAGATATAATTATGAAATGGGTGCCTCGATAGTCAAGTTATATTTGATAAGATTGAACACATATGATCTCGATATATGCACAGATTTATGTCAAACATAATCATGCATTCCACTTATTTCATAGTTAACTCGATTGAGCTTGATAAAGTACTCCGAATCTTTGACGGAACCACCTACCTAGACCTAGATATTCTAGTTTCTATGAACGTGAACTTTCCCCAAAGTTCTCTTTGCGCAAATATCAGACGCACGGTACATCTATGGCATTGCGTCCACCTTGGTATTTGTCAAAATCTACGGCTGCCGCAGGGACCTCCTTAGGTAGCCATGCGTCATCACGTCAAAGGCCGTATGGTAGCCGAAAGTTTTTCATTTCCACATATGACATGCGGCTATCGTAGAATAAATGACTGCTATATAGCATGTGACCGCGGAAATGCTTGGCGGTCTTAGAATTGCATCAACTTATAGGAAAAAATTATAGCGCATAGCCTCCGTAGCAAATGTGACAGGCATTACTCGCAATTTGTCTTTGTCTCCTATTCTTCCTTTAAGGACTTAAGGACCTAAACATATGGGGATATATAAATGAAATGGCCATTCTACAATTGTATTTTACGTGGCATGTGTTTTGTTCTTTAGGATTGTGTCGTGGGGACCCAATAACCACAGCAGGCAAAAGAAGGCAGATTGTAAAAATGGTTACCCTGGTACTGATTCCTATTGCTGGACTTCTTGGTTTATCTCTATTTGTTCTTGGTGATAGTATATCGAGCAAACAGGCGACCGCAGAAGTAAGCATTATCATTCATTACATCAAAGACTGCTTTGTTGTAATATTAGGAAAAGCGAAACAGAATAAAATAATTTGCTGATCTGCATACCAAGAGAATATTGCAATTTGTTTGTAGCAAGCATTCTTGTTTTGTTTTGTAGCTAAACATTGATTTTTTCCACGAGTAATTTACGGTCATTTTGAAAAAAGCTACTTTAGTTATCTGTGACCGATATTAGCATTTTTCGTTTCAGTGTTTCATTTATGTACGATTTCATATATATAAGTTAAAAACTGGATTTTCGTATTGAATTCTTATATAATCACTTGCATTCGATTACATATATTGTATTCATTATACTTAAGGGGACTCATCTTTAACCCTGCTGATTTTGGGATTGGTATTTCTTTTATTTTGTATACATTTAATGAAAGTATGAAACCCTTCAGAAAAAACGAAAAAACTGTAACGCCTAATATATTAGATAAAGAGCAATGGTGCCATGTCATACAACGTCTAATATATGGACCATTGAACCATTGGTACCGAGTCGTAGAACGCCTAATATACTAACACATGGACGATTGGTGCCGAATCAACATGTAATTTACATTAGACAGGGACCGATGGCACCGAGTCATATAACGCGCAATATATTCAGCCACACATGAACCAATGGTGTCGAATCATATAACGCGTAATATATTCAGTCACACATGAACCAATATATTACGCATTATAATTTATATGACTCTGTACCATTGGTCCCTGTGTATTGTATTACGCATTATATGACTCGGTTCCATTGGTCCATGCTTGTGTAACTGAATATATTACGCATTATATGAATCCGTACTCTTGATCAATATGTAACATATGCTACATTGTTAATTTGGAATTGTATCATATCGGTTTGATTAATATCAAATAATTCTGCAACTTGACGAAGTGAGTTCCAATCTAATGAAACTTATTTTTGCCTTGTTTTTAGTTGCGGACAAACATAGAGTTTAGTATTGAAGTGGGTCGTTTTATACATCAGCTCCAAAAAGAACGTGACATGAGCGTTTTGTACTTCAGCCAGCTTGGTCCAGAAACTAAAAGCTTTCTCCTGAATTTCTACCCTCAGACCGATGACACGTTAGATGCGCTGTCACAATGGCCAGTGAGACAGAGAAATACACTTGAGCAATTTAGAAATAAAAAGTCGTTTAGATTTTATTTAGCAAAACATAGAAATGAGTTGGATTTGTTGCATCTTAGTGATAAAAACTACACATACGTTAACGAAATTCAATTCTACAGCAGCATGATCGATGTGTTTTTACTTTGGTTGCAAGATGCTATCCAGGAATCAAGGTATGGGACAATGTGGAGAACATTGGTAGCTTACATGAAGATAATTGCTGCAAAAGAGGATGTCGGCATTGAGCGATCATTTGGCGGAGCTTTCTATGTGAGAGGCGGTTTTCTTTTTGATGACGATTTCTTTAAGTTTAACAGACAACTCGTAAACGCTGATGTAAAGTATGCTGCGGCTAAAACCTTTTCTCCACTTGTGGATTCGATTAGGATGTATGGAATCAATGTAAATGGAATTAATTTGGCAACTATAATAAATAATTATCGCGATGACATCCAAGATAGAAACGCTTCGTTCAGAGACCCGTCTGTAAGAAAAGCTACTCAGTATTTTGATGATATGACGGTTTACGTGAACCTTCTCCTTGACATTCAGGTTGAGCTTGCTAACAAGATTTTTGACAATCTCAGGAACAAATCTGTGTTAGAGACAACATCACTTGTTATGAGTGCAATCCTCTTGCTAATCGTTCTCACAATAAGTCCAGTCGTAGTACAATTAATTCTAAAAATGACTAATGATATCCAGAGGTATGCCATCACACTTGCCAGTAAGACCCAGGAATTGCACAAAGAAAAGAAGAAGACGGATTCTCTTCTTTACCAAATGTTACCCAGGCCTGTTGCTGACCAACTGAAGAAGAACAAGGTATGTCGCCGGGGTAGACAAATTAAAACTATGTTCCTTGATACGTTTTAAACAAGCAAGTTATTGTATCCTCAAGATATTTACATGCACTTTTGTTCAAATTTATGTATGATGAACTACACATTTGCCAAGGGAATAAAAACAGTGAACGTCAACTGATCCTAAAGACTTCAGATACCAAAGATTCCATAAAATTATGACCGTCATGCATATCCTTCTCTTTTAGGATGTGAATGCTGAGTATTTTAAAGAAGTGACTATTTTCTTTTCTGATATAGTCGGGTTCACTCGTATTTCATTGGAATGCACCCCCATGCAAATTGTAGAGCTCCTAAATACACTTTACAATACGTTTGATAAACGGATTGAACTGTATGATGTTTACAAAGTGGAAACCATTGGTGATTCATACATGGTGGCATCAGGTAAGGATGATATAATTATGTATTCCATACCTGTTCTGGTTTCAGGGGCATATTAACCGGGAATATATTCGATATCCGTCCAAATATATTTCGTATAACCCGCATGTGGCGTTATCGGGGACACCCCGCCTCGGGAATTCCCGTCATAACTATTGCAGCACTGAACTAAACAAAATACAATGATGGCAGACGAACACAGTGAACAAAATTTAAAATTTAAAAACAAATAATGTGAATCAATTCTTAGTAAACACAGAAAACGAACACATCGCAAAGAAGAATCATCTTGGTGTTCAATTCATGTTAGCAACCTAACACATCAGTATATTGGAGACATGCTTGGTATTTTAATTAAAGCCTCATCAGGTATATATTAATGTTTTAATGTTTTGACGAATAGATTGTTTGATTGATAATTTTCAATTCATGAATACACAACTTATCGTTTTAGCACAGAGGGCTTGTATCCAAAACAATTAAAACACGCCTTCCTCGGCAACTGACTTTTATTAATCGTCCTTTATTTCGTAGCATAGCGAAAGGTTGCCCTCATCCTTTTTACTATTAACATTTACATTTTGTTATATTTAGTTTTTCTCTAAAATTCCTATGATGACTTACATTTGTTATTTACAGGGCTCCCAAGCAGAAATGGCAATAAACACGTCTATGAAATTGCAAACATGTCATTGGATTTAATGGCTGTTACCGCCACGCTTGAACTCGGTGATATAACTAATGATAAGATAGAGCTCCGCATTGGAATACATACAGGTGTGTATTTTTAAGATGTCATTATGCAGATATGAAATATGTATTAATCATTGATTATTCTTTTTATGTCCCCACCACATAGTGTGGGGCCATATTGTCGGCTTAGGCGCGTCCGTCTGTCTGTCCGTCTGTCCGTCCGTACGTCCGGCAGTTTTCTCCAAAACCGCTACAGATATCACCTTCAAATTTTCAGGGATAACTTATGAGTCCATACAGATGTGGATGAAAAAAAATTATCTCGATACCTACTTCCTGTCGGCCATTTTGAAGTCAAATGCTAAAATCCTTGTCTGCAAGCTTTAAGAAAAACGGCTTTCACAGTTGCTTTTAAAACTTTAAAATCTTGTTCAGCTCACTTCATTCTAGATCTGATTAGGTTTTGGACCTGTTAGCTCAGTCATGTCAGCCATTTTGAATGTTTTAAGAAAAGTTAGCGCACGATAATACTTTGTATCATATTGAATGGTGTTTTTCAGTTTTCATACTTTAACTATTTAGTAGCTTTATAAATAATTTCAGGTGTACTTTGTTGTAAAAGCCTATGTTATTGTTAACAGTAGTTATATGTGATCATTTTGTAAAAAGAAATCAGCAAAAATTCATAATCACTTTTTTATTGTCGGCCATTTTGGATTTTCCGTCCTAAAATCTTGTCTGTAAAGTCTTGTCTACGCGTTTTCAGGTGAACCGTTTGGTAGATCAATTTCAAATTTTCAGGGATGATTCTTAGTATGAAAATCTAGATCTGATTAGTTTTTGGGCATTCTGGGTAAATGTCAAGGCAGCCATTTTGGATTTTCCGTCCTAAAATCTCGTCTGTAAAGTCTTGTCTACGCATTTCCAGGTGAACTGTTTGGTAGATCAATTTCAATTTTTCAGGGATGATTCTTAGTGTGAAAATCTAGATCTGATTAGTTTTTATGCATTCTGGATAAATGTCAAGGCAGCCATTTTGGATTTTCCGTCTTAAAATCTTGCCCGTAAAGTCTTGTCTACGCGTTTTTAGGTGAACCGTTTGGTAGATCAATTTCAAATTTTCAGGGATGATTCTTAGTATGAAAATCTAGATCTGATTAGTTTTTGGGCATTCTGGGTAAATGTCAAGGCAGCCATTTTGGATTTTCTGTCCTAAAATCTTGTTTGTAAAGTCTTGTCTACGCATTTCCAGGTGAACCATTTGATAGATCAATTTCAAATTTTCAGTATGAATGTTTCTTAGTATGAAAATCTAGAACTGACTAATTGTGTCGGTAAAGTCTTGTCTACTCATTTTTAGGATAACCATTTGACGGGATCATCCATAGGTGGGGACATTTTGTACACATTTGTGTTCTTGTTTATTATACTTTACTATCATTTCATAATATTATTTGATAAAAACATGTAAAAATTGTCACACACAAATAAGCTTCGATTACAATTTGTTCTAGGAAAACAAAAACTTTCTAATCAGGGGGTCATTGATACACGAACAAAACTGACCCGAAATACATATATCAACAGCAATTACCTATGTTACTCGATCTTAAAAGATGGTATATCAAAGCAAAATTGTATTAAAAGCTTACAATAAAACTCTAAAAGTCAAAGATACATGTTTATTATTATACTGTATTAATGAACGTATACGTTTTTATGAATTAGGTCACTGTGTCGCTGGTGTTGTTGGTATCAAACTACCACGCTATTGTTTATTTGGAGACACAGTCAACACTGCATCCAGGTTAGAGACAAGTGGACTCGGTAAGATGATAAAATCCTTAATCAAATGTAAAATAGTTATATGCATATCAAATTGCAAATAGTTTCATTTCATCATACAATTGTCGACATTCCGAAAGCCTCGACATTATTGTGAATGAAAAGCTAAAAAGTGATAATGTTCATTCATTGATTTGATAAGACACGCTTGTCAAAAGCATCTTGAATAATATGGCTATAAGACAACATGTGGAACAAACCTGCACATCTAAAGTATAACATCTACTTTCAGCAAACAGGATACATATTAGCACGACAACGCATCGTTTGTTGGCGAGGCATGGAGGGTATACTATGCAACAGCGTGGGGTAATGGAACTTAAGGTAAAGCTTAAAAATACAAGGGAGAAAAGGATTATGTTCAGCCGACTGTATTTTGTTTAACCAGACGAATCGTTAAAAGTCGAAAGACGCACACGTTCTTTAAGCTACTTAAATCAATACATGTTCAATTGAAAGGAAACCATGGGCTCTATCAGTTGGTAGAGCCCATGAAGGAAACAAACAAATATTTGTGTCTCTTCCCTTGATCTGCTCAGTTGCTAATTATAACGGAACATAATACATTCGTGTTGGTGAAATTAATTTATTTAATATAAAATAATAAAATCATTAGCAAGTTGGGTAGTCATATCTGAAGGGAGGTGGAGGGGAAATGTATATTATAATGAATATTTAACATATAAATGAAAATCAGTACCCCCCCCCCATAATGTGGATGGTGCTATATTTGAAAGTGCCATAATGTGGATGTCGCTAAGTTTCTAAGCCCTATAACGTGTATGGTGCTTGGGTCTGAAGGCACCCTAGTGTGAATGGTACCTGTGTCCGAGAACGCCATAATCTGGATTGAACTTGAGTGATTGCGCCATAATGTGGATGGCACACACATTTGAAGCGCAATAATAAGTCCATAACAGGGATTGTGTTGGAACAGTATCATTGTATATAATTTAATGGAAGTGATTTGTCATGGTGGAGTATTTGATTGAATAACAATGCAATAAACATAAGAATATGAACCTTGGGAGTGGAACGAGCGAACTTAAGTGACACAGCCAAACCATGATAGCAAGAGTGCTAAAATGAGAACCCCAAATATTTTTTAAAATACAGTTGTTCTAAAATATAAAATAACAACATAAATAACTTCTATTCACTTCTCAGGGCAAGGGAAGGATGAACACCTACTGGCTATTGGGAATGAAGTTCTCGCCAAACACCTCACCTAAACCTGGTACTAGTACAACTGGAGCTGCGAAAGTATTTAACTTTGATGAACCCCAGCCTGGAACTAGCGGAACCGGTGGTGTTCAGAAGGTTGGGATAGGAGAGCCAGTCAAGCCTAAGTATGCTCCTACTGGTGAAGTCTTTGCTGGTCAAACGTCCTCACAATTGCCGCTTAAGCATTTATATGAAGCTCGAGATGGACTTGCCTTGCCTGTTGAAGGAGAAGTACCGTTATCTTTAGACGAACTTGATCATATGTTCGACAACAATAAAGGAAGTCCACCTATTGTTCAACTGGTTGAAGGACTTCATTTTTGAACAATAGTAAATAGGAAAACGTACAGACATATATGCTGAACGTGTTGTCGTGATATTATTTTTTATCCAACCGATCGAAGCTCGAGTGTTAGACCCAATGTCGGAGTCCACGTGTTAGAAATGTAACTCCACATGTTACAATAGCATAGTCTCAAAGAGACACATTTTTGATCGGATAATTGATATATTGCCCGTTTAAGATGGCATTTCACTTTTTACCTTGATGATGGTGTTTTCATACAACAACTTTGGGTAGCAATATACATATAGAGTTTCATGTCGATGATATTTACGTTTTATGATATGTTCATAATCGAATGTGCAGTGTCACGTCTCAATATTAATATATTTTTCAAATATGTACATGTATACGGTCACTTTAACAAAAAGTGAAGGCTTGTAAAATAATGACAACCCTGTATTTTCCTCAATATTTTATCATTTTAATGATTTACACCCTTTAATTTGGCACATTTGTACAGCATTGAATTGTTGTTCAAAGTGCTGTAACATTGTGACTATCAGTCTGATTGTCATGAAATATGGTGGGCCGGTAGGAAATTGAATGATGTACATATGTGCTAAATATCAGAGAGAGAGAGAGACAAGGATATGATGAAAATAGTGACAGGGTAACCAATTTTATTGAGCACTCTGTCTTACCAAATATTTCAAAAGGCCTTAGTTAAGATTTAATACCCGTTTAAGAACCCCTATTCTTACTATTGAAAACGGATTCTACCAATACTCTCTCACATGATTCTACTTGTTGAGAATCGACCACACAATGGAGATATGCAGGATTAAAGTCAATTGCATCCCCATGTTAAGTCAACGGTACCCTTGCTGAAATCCGCATTATCTTAGAAGAACTCAAGTTGATAGAGTGTCAACAAATATAGTTTCACGTGGGAGAGTAATGTTAGAATTCATTTTCATAATAAGAATAGCGGTTCTTAAAAAAAGGCAATCGGCTTGCTTTTCGAACTTTTTATTGGTTCTAAAATGTAAATATTAAATCCAATAATCCTTCTGTAAATGCGTTTGTACTGAATTTAAATGTTATTGTATAACCAACGCTCTCCAAATGAAACAGAGGAAATAAAATAATGTAACATCAGTAATTGATATTTTTACATTTTTTAAGGTTATTTTATTTCCATATTAGAATCATATATACAGTAATACATGAATATGGAGAAACAAGCCTACGTTTGCACATTATTAGCTTGTGAAAATACATTTTATACAGTGGATATTTACACGTACAATAACAGTCATAATCTACATAAATGTAGTGTTCAGATGGAATGGGTGATGATGTTATGAAATTTGGCAAGGTACAGAAGATATGACACTGGTTTCACAATATTTTGTTAATAAAATCTGATGATAGATTTATAAGTATGGAGTTAAGCTTTGGTGATAGTTCTTTATCGCCAAATAAAATCATATCAACCTTGTCATATTTGCGTTTACTGGAGAAAAGTTTGAGGTTAGGGTCAGCTTGCTGGGAGAGACTTTGGAGAAATATTTGTCTTGCATCATGTGTAAGAGGGCAATCAAGCAAATGGTGTACCTTTGTCTGGTTTCGAAACCCACATGGACAACTTGGATATTGGTAGTTTACAAAGTTGTGCCGGCAAAAATCAGAGCGCAAAGACAGATCAAATAAAATAACCTTAAAAAAGTTAACATGAAATATTCAGTGAATGTTCCTTAAAGACATTTTGATTATTCTACAAACTTTCATTTTGACTGATAATACCATGTTTGGAGCTTTTCATAATTAGAAAATTGGGATTGTCTTTGTTAGTGAGCAAAACGTAACACTGGCCGTGTAGACTACCTTCCGCATTAGATTGAGCAATCTACTCGTTCGAGTTGGTCACCAAGAGTCACAACAGCCCCAACATGGCAGCACCCCCAATAAAATGCTAAATACCTATTGATCGCTTGACCTTGACTGATTCTTGGCCTTAAAACGCCAAATACCTAGATATGACCTTGAGATGACTAAGAGTAGCATTATTCTCCAGGTGCCTTAAATGCCAAATACTTAGATACTGAACTTTGACATTGAGATGACCTTGACCTCAGGTCACCTAATCACGGGTCGCCAAAAGCTCGAACCAAAGGATCTTAAGACGCCAAAAACCTAGATATTGACCTCGACTTCAGGTCACCTAATCATGGGTCACCAAGGGTCACAGCAGTCCGCAATGTCCTTAAAACGTCAAATACGTAGATGTTTACATTTGACCTTGATCGATGAACATTGACCTTGACCCCCCCCTTGACACCAAGGATCACATCAGCCCCCAAGGTCCTTAACCCGCCAAATACCTAGATATGATATTGATATTTGACCTAGGAATGATCTTGACTGGTGAAACAGGTCAAACAGTCTAGGAGATGTCCGGAGGAAAGAGAGACAGACACACCACCGTGCTTTATAGTAAGAAGAAGATTATTTGAATAAACTGGTAGTTGAATAAACTGGTCTTACATGTATATTTACATTTGCAAGTCAATCTTGATTTATTACATGGGCCTATTTGCGATTATTTATACATGTTGCATTCAAATGTTGTTATATCTTCTAAATTTCGCGATATGTGTTGACATCAACAGAATTTAATATGCTCCATTATGTCGCCAATAAAAGGTGTAAAAACAAAGTTAGAATATATATATAGTTATGTATGGTTAGATTATTATGTTACGGAGCATTAAAGATACATTCATGCAACACCCTAAAACACACGACGTGCGCAACCTTTTTGCGACGTGTCTATACAAATTTTGAAGGCGTCACGCCAAAGCGGGAATATCCCCTCAATAAATATATATTATAATATTTTTGGCAAATAAATATTCGTATAACGTAATTACGGGACATAGTCATGCACCCCATACCCAAGGGTAGAAAAAAAAGATTTATATTCCGTAGGAAAAGCAAAGGCGCTACTACAAGGTGGCTATTCATTTTGATGACATGACTAAAATTACATCTTCGGGATTTCCACTTCTCTCTCGTCTTTTAGTCGGGTAAGAAGTAGATACTATTATCCTAGAAGTATGACTCCAATTGACGTATTACACACCTAAGCTTTGCTGAAATGTGTAGATGAGCAAAGAATGGGTATCGAAATGGCGAACTTTTTGAACACACGTTTCTCTTAAACCAGTCATCAAAAATTTCTGTAAATCTTACAAATTGTCAATTTAAAGACCATCTTTTGAATGGTAACAATATAATTTGAAATAGATAAACATACTTTCATCTTTAGTTTTTAAAAACACATCGAACACTTGTTTTGTTCTTGGTATCATGTTTCCAGAGTGAAATGAAACATCTTTCCGTACCTCATTGGAACAAAACGACATAAACACAACAGGTTTAGGACTCTCAATATTGTAATTGTACAAAGGAAATTTTGGTTGATTTTAAAAAAGTATCTTGTTAATGAAATAATAGGTTTTTCTTGATTTTTTTCTATTTTGGGGGGATTTTGTTTTAATTTTTTGAATACTTTTTTAAAATCAACCAAAAATTCCTTTGTATAACTTAAATATTGAGGGGTCTAAAAACATGTTGTATATGCTATTTTGTTCCAACAATTGTTCGGAAAGACATTTTATTTCATTCTCAAGAATTGGTAGAAAGGAGCAAAAACAATTGCACTAAAAAAACAAAAATGTTAACAAAAACAGTTATATAAAATATTTCTAAATAATTTTCGCATTAAATTGTTGTCAATCAGTCAACATTACATAAAACACCATGTTTTTTTACAGAATGTTTTCAATGATTGGTTTAAGAGAAAAACATTGTTGAATTCAGTTCTCCATATCGATACCTATCCTTTACGATAATTTATATTTTCAAATATAATCAAATTCTGTTATTCTACCATATGTGTCCTAATATCAACAACATTTAATGTGTGCTATTTTAATGTTAACCCGACTGGCTATTATGATACGATGTATACTGAAAATAATGTTGAATAATTTAAAAACAGCTTTAACGATGATTTTGTTAGGCAAAAATCAAAGGATTTGTCACTATAAGTATATAAAAAGTGCCCCCAAAGCATTCATAACCATTATGACAAATAATATTGTATTTAGTAAGGAGTTAATTACAACATAGTGTCCAGGTACATCCTAAGTGTTATGGAGGTCATCGTGACCTTGTAAAGGTCAAGTCAGTGCATATCTGCAAATCAAACATTCTTGTGTGCAAAATTATATTTTATCAAATCTAAAATGTGAAAATATGATAAAAAATGTTGTTAAGAACAATTTTGGCTTAACCCTTGAACTTTCGAAAGTAGGTCAAACATTCAAATTTCACGATATTTGTTTACTGATTATTTTGGTCCATTGATTTAACATGGGGATATCATCATATATCAATATGATGATATCCTTGTGTTTAGCCAAGTATTCAAGATTTCAAATGAGCTGGGGGTAATGCTCCTAATATAGGCAGGTTACTAAATGCCCTTTAGTCATTATTCAATAGTTAAAGGTAAATTCATAATCCACGTTGAATGTATACAGCACTAGTATAGTCTACATCCAAAATGGCTGCCCTAATCATGTGCTATATTTTTTGTTCAACTTTACTTTTACAGTGCTTCCGCAGGCCTGGCCCACACTAATTTTATCACTTAACTGTTTCCTCTGTCATAATGTTTACATTGAGACATAAATAAGAGTGGGCGAGGCCTGCGGAAGCAATAAACCGTTCGAATATATAAGCCACCTTGATACAACGAGGAAGTGAAAAACACACACAGCATGCTCAAGCAGGTCACATTTGGTTGCATCCAATGAATATCGGATTTGAGTGTCTCCAAACTATAAGGCATACATAAAGCTTAATATTGTTAGAATATTGAATGTGAATATATTCCTTAACCTCAGAAACATGATTATCAAGAGAAAAACACACAATTTTGGCAGACAAATTGGTCACTCTTGGAATTGCCTGGAAACGTGTTCTTGGGTTGATTTAATTTCAAAATAAGTATTGAATCAGTGAGTTTCTATTACCTTCATTATTTCATAAGAATTTAACATATGGCCGTACATTGAATTTATATACCTTATTTATAGTGACACTTTTAGTGACAGCTTTGCTAATGTAAACTCAGACAACATAACAAATAATGTATCGCATGCTTTTATAATTTCCAACTTGTTAATTAAGTATGTTTGCAACCAGCTCTCAACGGGGAGTGTTTGATATTTCATGCTCATAAAACAATATATATTCTATTATGTCGATATGATTTGTATCATCCAACACACTGGTTGAATTAACGTTGGTGATATGTTGTTGATGGATAATTTATTGAAAGCTTCGTCAGAAAGTGCCCTTAGGGGTTACCTTTTAAATGACAGACAACGAAAACGTCAGACGAAATATTGTTATTTTTACGGTAAATTTAGATTTTGCTGTCCAATATTTTGTAAACAGTAAGATTTCAGCTTTGCACCAATTCGATTTTAAATGATTATTTTCAGAAATCAAACTAATCCAATGTAGTATTTAAATGATTGCTATATAAATTCTCAATTATATCTAGTTTCTCAGTAAATTGAATGTGTTGAGCATATGTTGGAGGATACACATCATATGGACATAATAAAACGTGTTCTTTTTATGAGTATGAAATATAAAGCAAGTCTCTTTTCAGAGCTGGTTATATACAAACACATTTTATTAACAAGTTGGAAATTATTGGAGCACATGATAAATTATTTGTTAGATTGTCTGAGTTTATATTAGCAAACTGAGATTTTTGTCTAAAAATCATCATTAAAGCTGTTTTTGGGAATTAATAAGCAATTTTTCAGTTGTTTTTCATTATTTGTTAGATACATTTTGTATTTTTATATGCCTTTGATGTGCCCTACCCCTTGAAAAATCAAAGAAAGTGGGTGTGGCACAATGCATTCAGATTCAATACAATACAATACAATACAATACAATACATTGTTATTTAATGGTTAAAATTATTTGATTCTATTTTGTATTTTCAATGTGCCCTACCGCCTAAAAATAGATATTGGGCGTGGAGCAATTGGATCATAAATTCTACAAGGACTGCTAATACTGCTCCAATAAGTATTCTAAAACTATGTTTGATATTGCAAAGCAACAGACGCAATGATCAAGAACTTTTTTAAATATCATTTTTATGTGCTTAAAATACAATAAAGTTGGTGGTTTGGGGGTTTTATGCCTTCCCTGTTAATGACTTGACATAAAGTATCTTCCTATTTACTACGATTTTTATGGCTGCAATAACGCGAAGGATCTTTTGGCAACCATGTCTTATTCACCAATTTTGAGTGAATGTATTTTATAGGATTCTGAGTGGTGTCCCAATGCAATAGGAGGCTGCATTTGATATGACTACATAGCACGGTTGTCACAGTGAATTTGATTGCAGTTTCCGCAATGGCTTGTTGAATGACCCCTCTGAGTTCCAAAATGCAAACATTTATGTTTTACCACAAGACAGCCAGCTTGTCTTTTTTCCTCCAAGTGCCCATCTTCTAGTGTCTGCCTGTTATTAAAAAGGGTTTTAAACGAGCTACATGTTTCAGAAATGTTTTTCATACTTTATATATACTTTGAATAAGACCATCATCACCTGACTTTTTAGTGAAATAATTACAGCTTCGGGGTTGAGTTGATTTGCCAAGCAAGGGATGAGTAGCCTAGGTGATGACTTGTCCGAATGGTTGAATTGTTTAGGGATTCAGCTGTCCAGGGGTTGAGTTGTTCAGAGGTGAGTCATCTTGAAATTTAGTTTTCTGTAAGCTGGTAAGGGTTCCACATGCAAAATTGGGAATATTTGCAACCATTTTTGAACTACTTGTGCAAAGAACTTTAGGATTATACTTTACAATTGTATTAGCAATACATCATGCTGAAATCAGTATTATAGCAAATATAGTATAATATAGTACCCCCTTAACATGTTATTCTAGGGGGGAAACTACTCAAAATCTTTCGTCCACCAACCAAATAGAAGCACACATCATGAATTAATGCAGAATACGGTCATCAATGTATGCCTTGCAAGTGGCCCCCTGACTTCCCAAAACCATTGCCAGAGACTGACCTATGATGCATGGGCATTTAAATCTTCTTACATGATGTTCCAATTGTATACATTGTATAACTATATAATTATATCCTGTCATATCATGTCAATTAAGATGTAAACACGGACATCAGTGGTATTATGCAATTTCATGACACACCCAATCAGATGAAAGTTCGATCCTTCGATTGCTAAATTCTACACATTATCCCATGGCCATGCCATCTCAAGTCTAAATTACATCAAATGCATGCTGCAGATATAATTACTTCTTCGTGTACTTTTCAATCAGTTCTAGAAGACATTGATAACCAACTGAAACTCACACTCACTTTCACCCTATGTGTAGTACACTAAATTTATGTTTAATTAGAATATACACATTTTGCTTCTAAAATGTGCTTAACACGCATAACTCATCTCAAGACGATATTGAGGATTTCTGGTCAAGGACTTTATTTCATTTGTGAGATTTATTACTCATTTACCACTATAAATTCAAATAAAAACATTCATTATGGCATGGTTGAATTAATGCCGAAGTGGATGTAAATAGAGAGATCAAGAAACCATTCTTTTTTTCAAATTACTACTTACAATGGATACATATGGACTTCTTTTTCAGGTTTTTACTTTTGGATTTATCCTATTTGAGGAATTTACACACGCGGAGGTACCTACAAATGGTAAGATGAATTTTCAAAAATTCCATATTACATTAAATTTAGTTTACTCCTAAGTATTGGTATGATGGGCCAACTAGTCAAAACGCTCTTATTGCTAACGTCATGGAATTTAAGAGTTTCCAATTCCAAAATTTCAATGAGTTCAACAGTTCATTGGAAAACTAAATATTAAAACAAAATGTTAATTGCAATTTACTCGGTCACATGGAAATCGAAATATATCACGATTAGTTTTTCTAGTCAAAAGTTATATTTTTAATACAAGGAAAGACTAATTGAATGTGTATTATGTATTTGTTCACAAATTCTAATGGAACGCATATATCGTCCTTTGACGGGCAGTGAAAAATTGATTGATTGATTGATGATTTATGTGAAAAAGAGGAATGTTTAGTTTCGTCAAAAATGACAAATGGCAATATTAATCTTGTGCAGTTATGTGCATGTATAACATATATGTTATCGTGTATTTAACATAGTATTAATGTGCCATTTTGATGGCCAAAATATATCAACTATTTTATGAAACAATGTTTTTCATTTTTTGGTTTTTAATTTGTTTGACAATATACATTTCACTTTTTTGTTTGCACATTTTTACTCTCCATATATTTAATGTTTCTATGTCTTTTATTTTTATAAGGGTGTTTCATATGTATTCACCCCTTCTAAAATCATATAACATGTCATGATATATATCATTTTGTTCCTCATAGAAAGTTGAATGAGGGTCAATTTCTGGCCATTTTAAGACAATTGAAAGGAAAAATATTAGTTTCCCTATTGCACATTTCTAGCAGTTGTCATCCGATGACAAAGTTCAGTCCACATCTCAGACAGATATCGGTCCACTTGTCTGTGACAGTTATTCACAAAGATATATAGACAGGCTTCATGTCACGGTGTCCATGTAGTGGCTTATAGGGAGGCCGTGGACCATGGTACCATCTTTATCACTAAAATGGGTTACGGACAAAGTGAACAGGTCACCAGACTGGTTCTAAAATGCTTCCAAAAATGCTCACAAATATTTTCTGGGACAGCCCTTCATTTTGAAACTTTGCAATCTTATGGTACTTTTCATAAGAACCAAAATGACACGGGTGTTCACTAAGTAATGACACTAGGTCATCCATTTTGTCAGATTTTAGAGAATCTTGCTATTTTCAGCATGTCTTGAAAGTGTAATTATGAGTTTATTTGAAAAGTCGCAAAGCTTATGACCTCTAAAAAATAAAACAATGGTTGCCATAGCAACTTGGTGACAGGTGCGTTGACACAGACATCAGTTTCTACTCAATTTTGTTGAAACATAATATGATGGGGGTTCACATGATTTTGAGCCATGTATTCTCCATTAAACTTATGCCAGTTGGTGATTTGAAATATTTCCTGTATAGTGGATCATTTATAGTATGGTTCATAGTATGACTTCATAGTAGTCCTAGTTTAAAGACATCATGGGATCTCCATGAGTTCGAAAGTCTGCCAATAAGTCAAAAAAGCAAAAAAAGGTAACTGGCTTCAACGCACCAACAGCCATGTCATATTGCAATGCAGTCTATAGAATAGACAGAATGCAGAGCAGTCTATGATTTAAAAATGTAGACCTTGCTCATTATTCTCCAATGAACTTGAATTACATTTCTATTATATGCTGTTTGTCTCCTAAAGAGTCAACAGTTTCATTCCGAGAGAAAACTGTATGGGCAGCCAGGTTGAAATAAGATAAGATTGGCCAAACAAATGTTTTCCAAAAATGGGTGGCTAAACAGCAATAAAAATGCATTGAAGAAGATAAAAAATACTTTGTAGTGAATATTGTATCCACTGGGCATGGACCAAGAGTGATGGATATAAATATTATATCGTTTGCAGAAGGGATATGCTCAGGATAAAAGATTCCTAATCATTGTAAAATGTGACGGCATATGTGCTGTGTCAAGTACCAAATCAAAACAAAATGACTTGTATATGATAAAATTGACTAATTTCGGTCTTGAGACATGGAATTTGGTATGTGCACTCATTATTACATGCCGGATAATATGTGCAAGATCAAGAAAGATTGTTCGAAAAATGTAGAAATGGGAGAGCTAGTGTCATTACTTAGTGAACACCCTGTATAATACGATATATTTAGTAAAATGGGTTCCTTAATTGAATGCTAAACGTATTTAAGCTTCAGAATTGTAAGCCTATTCATTAAAATGTATATTTGTGTGTGTCGAATTATAAGTTACTTTGTTTGTAATATATTAAACTTTGCAGATGATTTTGCTTGTTTTTCAACATCTGTCCTGCTGACTATTAATTTGGCCCCTCGACAGAACATTAATCATCACCTTGAATGAACTTTTTAGTTATTTTCCAGTATGCAATTTTACACTTTACGGGTACAAATTAGCCGACTCAGAAAGTTCCTGTCACTACTATTTCTGCAATGGGTTTGGGGAAGAATGGCAACGAAGAAAATGCAAATATTCAGGAGCAGTGCCAAAGTACTACAGAAGGCGTTATCGATTTTTGGAAACTCGTATTAATTTATGTAGGACATACAGTAAAGAATGTACAGAGAAAGTCGAGGACCTAAAAAGTAAGGAAATGTTCTTTAGTTGATGTATTGCTAGATCAAGGTAATACGTATTTGAATCATGTTTCTTTTTCCTGTGTCAATAGAAATTCTAATTGCATGGCATCACTAACCCAGTCATCAATATCCGGACACAAGAGATGGATCATATTATGCCTCGGAATAAAACCCATATTCAATATTCCACTAAATATTTATCCACCGCGGAATGGTACCTTGCAGACCAGGTTGTAGGAAAATGCAATTGAAAGTTTTTTTGCAATTTTTACCTTTTTGGGCAATGTTTTTCAACACTTTGGGAATATGTTGTGGTCTATGAAGCAAAATTATGATGAGTTCTCGTTCGAATGCATTTGATAGATATGAAAGTACATGGCAATACGTCAAAACTAAGTAAGGAAAACTCATTGCAAGGCTGTTTGTGAAGTTATAAACTACATTGTATGCTCTTTTACCAGAAAATTGTGAAGGTTACGAAAACTCTATTGACTACTTTCATTGGAATTGAAGATTTGGGATATTTGTAGAGAGAAATATCTTTTTTTTCTTTGAAAAATGTTCGAAATCCAAATGAGTAAGTTTAGATTTCAGTTTTAGAGCCCTTTAAAAATCTATTTTCACAGATAGCTAGGCATGAGAAATAACACTCCGACCAATTAAAAGACAGTGCATATGCATTCTATATTTTTACATAAGATGCAGAAGAAGTGAGTAGCTCCCATAATACTATCATATTCTATCGCATTTGGGGATACTCCCGTATATTATGTCCAATCAAATAGCAGGATGTGATCACGTAAACAATCATGAGCAGGTGCTTTCTCAGCGCCGCGTGAAATTTGAAATCGTAGAAATGGCGTTTGTTTCAGTTTAACATCAGCTCAACATCATCATTTCATAATTAATTAATTTTGTGTGTAGAGAATGAAACACGTGACTCGATAACTTGTGTGTTATTTACATTGTATTTATTATTTGTATTGCATGCTAACATGACGTCCACCCTCATTCAAATGCCATTACACCATCCCCGTGATTAAATTTCTTCAAAATCAACTTATAGTCCCTAACCTGGTCCAAAAAGTGAAGTATCATTGTCCAGCACTCCGCCACTAGAAATGAACATACCGTTTCAAAGTACTGCCTTCCCTTATTAAGAAAATATATTTCGTTACAAGGGATTTTGCTTCTAAAATGGAGTCACACAAGGTTGCCTTGTAGAATAACTTTTTGTTTATATTTTTAACTTTTTATCACATAACTGCATTTCAAGTATTTCAAGTGCATATGCATTCTATATTTTTACATAAGATGCAGAAGAAGTGAGTAGCTCCCATAATACTATCATATTCTATCGCATTTGGGGATACTCCCGTATATTATGTCCAATCAAATAGCAGGATGTGATCACGTAAACAATCATGAGCAGGTGCTTTCTCAGCGCCGCGTGAAATTTGAAATCGTAGAAATGGCGTTTGTTTCAGTTTAACATCAGCTCAACATCATCATTTCATAATTAATTAATTTTGTGTGTAGAAAATGAAACACGTGACTCGATAACTTGTGTGCTATTTACATTGTATTTATTATTTGTATTGCATGCTAACATGACGTCCACCCTCATTCAAAGGCCATTACACCATCCCCGTGATTAAATTTCTTCAAAATCAACTTATAGTCCCTAACCTGGTCCAAAAAGTGAAGTATCATTGTCCAGCACTCCGCCACTAGAAATGAACATACCGTTTCAAAGTACTGCCTTCCCTTATTAAGAAAATATATTTCGTTACAAGGGATTTTGCTTCTAAAATGGAGTCACACAAGGTTGCCTTGTAGAATAACTTTTTGTTTATATTTTTAACTTTTTATCACATAACTGCATTTCAAGTATGATATATATTGATTTTGATAAAAAAAATAAGTACTTTTGATCAGCAAGAATATATTATATATGTATAGATGGTTCTCACAACAAACACCTTATCTCGATTCTCAGAAAAATCAGTTCGGGGACTATGAGCTCTCATTGTTTAGTAAATCGACCAATGTACCAAAACGTTGACTAAAGATGTACATACTCTCGTTTAAGAAATCACGACACAAAAAATAGTGCCACCGACAACTCCACCATGTATACCACTAGGAGGAAAATGTACTTACGGCACAAAGTGTTGCCCGTCTTCAGAAATCGATGTAGATATAATTTGTAATTATGACGAAGGCATCTGTGAGGAAAGTAAGTTGAATTGTTAGACTATAGTTTATTTATTTGATATAATAAGTGAATATCTGTCTACCTAGATCGGCTGAAAATTGTACGCTTTGAGCAATCCATGTGTGGTCTACAATCCAATTCAATTCAATTTTTATTTATTTCATAATTCTTATATAATACACACTATAAAAACAAGCCGCTAGACACCCTAGTGGGTATATGTTGCGGTTTAACATAAATTATTAAAATGACATCTAGACTACATATAAAAGAAAACACTTATATTATGTTACATGTAGGTATATAAAAATGGTATTTACAATTTATCTAAGGATGTACAATGTAAAAATGTTACAAAAAATCAGGTACCAGTATAAAATCAACAATACAGTATGATATTGCTATTATACAGGGTGTCAAAAAACAACGGCAAAATCCCGCAAAAAGTACTCATTAGAATCTACCATATGATATGCTTCTTTGATAAACCCCCCTAAGCCTTGATTGCCAAACAATTTACACATTACTACGCCGTTTAGGTCCTATACTGTCATTTGTACCTAAATGATTGCAACATAAATTGTTTCACAAAAAGGAAAATGTAATTTATTTTAGTACAAACCAAATATATTCTTAGGTAACGCCAAAACCATTTTTTACTTATCTGGCTGGCAAAAAGAAAAGATGCTCTCTGGTATTTAAGAACATCTATGATATACTTTAAAATCTTGAATTTATTGTTAAAACTTAAATTTATCATAGGGTGTAGAGAGGAAGGGGAATCTTGCTCTGGAAGCGGGGACTGTTGTCCAGGAGGAAATTTAATATGTGATGGTGGCACATGTAAACGTAGGTTGAAAGTTTTGCTACACAATAAAATCACTTGCAATGTTCATTTCATATGTTGAAAGCAGTAAGGATGAGAAAACAAACAATGCCTAATTTGCCGACAGAATTCTTAATATGGGCACTTTTGATTGATTCATTCCGAAGTGATTCTCTACGTGTAAATCAAATATCAATTCAATGTTTTAAGCAATCGATTGTGAGTATCCCATGGCACCAGATCATGGATCAATAGAGACCAGAAGTACCCCGGCCAACGATGTTGGAAGACTGCGCGTAGGAGGAATTGTCCATTTCGAGTAAGTTACTATTAGTTACATTCACATAAAGTCTTAATTATACATTGGTATGAAAAATATATCAAATCAAACTGGTACTTGAGCAAGCGTAATAATGATTATTTTATCTTTATTGCCATTATATTTGACGATTAAACATGTGCAATGAACAATTTAAGTGTAATTACTAGACAACAAAAAAGAGTATTACGCATCCAATTCTTTTATATTAATTTTATATCCTTCTTAGCACAGTCATATCGTATGTAGGTGACTGATGCTCTAGATTGTCTCTTTGTATGTATAACAACACTCGTCAATACTACATGATCTATAAAAGTAACCATGCATATGAAATTATATCAAATATATTTCTTCATTGAGCAATTATGCAATTACATTTATAAGACTGACATTTTGCTTCACTTCATCGACTGATCTATGTCAGTAGTTGTTGTTTGTTACTTAGTATATATTGAATGAATATAATTCATCTTTATAGCTGTGATCCTTGCTATGAAATAGTACCCGATGACGAAGGTAATGTTGACGACAATTTGCGCTGTCAGCCTGATGGGACATGGGATGGTCCCGAGCCAACCTGTAGAGGTAAATCTCTGACAAACTAGATAAATAGCACAACACTTGGGTATATTTTGAAATAAAGCGACCTTTTGAGCCACTGGGTCTATGGGACTTTTTCTATTAATAACTACCCGAGGCTATTAACCCAAAGAAAGATGGTTCAAAAGAAGCATTACAGCCTTTATGGAAGTGGTACCTTAATTGAAACCCAATCAGTAATAATATTCCTGTATATGAGCTGGAATTCCGAATGCATCGTTTAAACTTATTCAAAATTATTAACTATATTTAGAAAAGGAGTGCACTACTCTTCCTGCACCTCAGGATGGATCACGCGACCCACCCAACGGGCCAGATAAATGCGGCGACACGGTTACAGTGGATTGTGACGATGGCTTTAAACCTTCGGGTACTTTGGTGAGAGAGGTAACTTGTATTGACTCTGGAAGAGGTGCTAGATGGGATAAAACTCCAATGACATGCAATCGTAAGTTATATTAAACACGCATTTTGCAATTGAGAGAATAAGTTAGCATCACTTTCCATAACTATTTTGGAGGTATCATTTTTTAAATATCCTGTCAACTTGCATAAAAAATGTCGAGGATTTTAATGAACAGAAATAATCACTTTTCCTAAATTGATCATTCGCCATTTTGTTTTGGAGAATAGCATGTTAAAACATAATACTGGCTGATGTTTTGAAGTGTTCTTTTAATTTTCGTGCGTATTTTTTTGTGAAGAAGTCACACCGTAAATATTTATGATTAATATAATGTATGATTTCAACAAAGCGAACTGTGAATATCCAACCGCGCCGGAAAATGGATTCATAGTTGCTGGAACAAGTGCAGGACCAAATAGCCAAGGCCGACTAGATGTTGGGGGAACAGTTAGATTTGAGTATATATTTTGTTTTAACCAGTCACATCGCTAGTCATTAATAGGTTAGATAGGAAAAATAATGGCATATAAGTCTTTAAAGAGCACAACAGATAAACATTATTCCGGAAAACGCAACAGACTACAATATACGTACTAATGTCTGTTGTCTTATTTTACGTAGCTGTGACCCATGTTATACATTGACACCTGATGGTAGTGGAAGAGTTGACAATGACTTGACATGCCAGTCCGATGGAACATGGGACGATGATATACCTACTTGCACAGGTAAAGTGAAAGGACTATATACAGTGCATGTTGCTATAATCCTTTACAGAACAAAGTTGAAAAAATAACGAAATGTCTTTTTAGCACTTTATCTCAACATTTTAATTTAGGACTGTGTGTTCCACTTAAAATGTCAAAAAGATCTCCCAATTCATAATACAAGCAATAAGCATCCCAATTATATAGAAATTCTCGTAATGCTGATCAATCTAACTAATACTATTCTTTGTGATTAGATGGGAAGTTCCTGTTAGTGCACCTTAATCAATAGATCAAGTATCACCAAAATTGTAGATGCTCACAGATTAAAGTAGGGAAACTCTTACAATGTATATCAAACAAAATAGCAAAGAAATGGACGTAGCTAGTTAAAATACGTCATCATTTGTTTGCATCGTGGTGTTGCCAGTGTCTCCTTAGAACTCACAGAGCTGGAATTTGATTGAAGATATAAGTTTAAATATTTTAGAGCAACATACTATCTCTCATTTTTGAAAGATCCATAAGCCTCGTGATTCGAAAAAGTGAAGTTGTGACACAACTCACCTGTTTGTTGACCTAAGTATGACTGCAGAATTCAAGCATGTTTTGTGTGTCGTTAAATCAGATATTTACTATACACACTCCTTATGATTAGATTCAAAATATTCTTCTCGCGTAATTGACTGAGGGAGATACTCGTTTTTTAGAACTACAATGTGACGTCATCGAAGCCCCAGCGAATGGCAAAAGAACCCCAAGTAATGGCCCTGACAAGTGTGGAGAAACGGTGACATTTGAGTGTGACGAAGGCTTTGAACCAGCGGGGACAAAAGTGGACACTGTAAATTGTGTGCAGGATGGTAACAGTGCAGACTGGGATGAAGAACCAATGACATGCGAGGGAGGAACATGTGTGAGTCTGAGAGGAGAGTGTCAAGAAGGAGTAAGGGGCAAGGAATGCTGTGCTGAAGAAATCCTAACGTGCTCTTTGGAAAAAGTTTGTAAGTACTTAAATATTAAAGCTGGACTTTGCCCCGAAACGCAATCTTGGGTTGTTTCCGTTCGGGGTGGAACTTTATCATTTTGAGAATGAAAGATTATAGAATGATGAACAAATGGGGCAAATCTTGTGTAGAAAAACTTACGATAAATGTGTCATTTCAAAGATTTTTCATTGAATTGCTTCGATTGGAGCCGGCGATATGATTTTGGAAAGGTTTCTAAATGAAGAACGTGACGTCACTTCCGAATCATAGCATTCAAAATAAGTAGCGTTTAATTACTTCAGCCATTCATAATATTACGATGGTTCGCGGTAGAATGCTCGCTTAGCACGCGGGAGGCCCGGGTTCGAATCCCGCATTCGCTTTTTTATTTTTTCTGACTAAGTGATTGTTCTTTGACATTACGCAGATAATTTTTTTTATTTACATAAACTTTATATTAGAGCTTGAAAATGTAAAAACAATATATGTCAACATATTGCGTTTTGGAGCGATGTGCAGGTTTATTCATTGATACATTTGCCACATCTTACTAAGAAGGGGAAAGAAAACTTTGTTCCCAAATAATTTTTATTATCCCGGGTTTATTATGGACTTTTCAAAATGTAATTTTAAATTTGATTGACGTAATTAGCGAATTATACAAGTGTTTGACGAAATGATTCTTGATAAAAGGTTCTTTTAGGTTGTCGTGATAGATCCGGAGATTGCCGGAATGATGGTGACTGCTGTAGAGGTCTGACATGTAGTTCACTTGGGACATGTGAACCGCGTAAGTCTTGTGGGGTTTCTATATTTCAGATTATGATATTTTCATTTGATGGTAGCACATAGCTTACCTATTTTGGTTATGAATTGAATGTGTGTTTTAGAGCTTGTGCATGTTAAGTCGTCTGTGTTCGATTTACAGGTTTCAGTTGGCATCCACTATTTTCACATTACAAAGGCTCAAGATCTCAAATCAAAGTATGCCACTTGTCACAATGTTTATGTGAATTGGAAATATTATTATAATTTCAGCAATTTCTATCAAGTGTGTAGATCCACAGGATATCATGTTTGCTGTTGACACATCTTGTTCCATAGCCGAAGCCGACAAAGATCGAATCCGGACTTTCATGACAGAGATGGCACGGGCATTTGAGTTGAGTAATGCACCTGATAATGGTATCCAAATGGGTGCTGTTACATTTAATGATAATTACCAACATGTTGCGTACTTAAAAGACGCAAAAGATCCAGAGAGACTTATTAAAAGAATTGAAACGATGAGCCTTGTTGAAGAAGGCTGTCGTACTCATACATTTGCAGCCTTGAAAGCCATGGAGGACATATACTTTACACCTGCCCAAGGGAAAAGAGCAGGGGTAGTTTCTAAGCTTATATTGTTATCAGATGGTGTTACGAAACCTAGTAGTAAGTTTCTTATTCATTTATCTTAAATGTTATTCAAAAACGTTAAAACAAAAATACCTGTTTTTATGGATGGTAGCCTGAAGTCCAATTGTTCAGCATTTTTATAAATATTGCTTTCAATTCGATTTCATAAAAGTACTAAGATTCATCTTGCTATTCATAAGAGGAAACACAAGTTCGCACGATTTCTATAACCGATGCATAAAATTAATATTCTTGTATCTAATTTCAGATAAACAAAAGAATACGTTTCAAAATGCTGATTCACTCCGCGAGTTGGGAGTCGAAATCATTGTTGTCGGTTTACCTCAAGGCTGTGATGCGAAAGCCAAAAACTGTGAACCAAAGGTTATAGGAGAAGAGGAATGGATGGGTATATCAGGAGCCGATGAAGATCCAAACCTGTTGTTCAATGTACTTAACACAGACTTTACAAAACTTCGGGAGACAATACAAAATATCGGTGTATCGATTTGTGGAGAAGGCAGTGTAACAATAAATTAATTGGAGAAATAAAGCAACCTTTATTCATCAACATCATATTTAGCATTTTTCATGATCGTAATCCAGGTAGTATCCTGTCTGTCCCTGTATTTTCCGTGAAATGTCTTTATTTCTCATTATAATGATTTTGCTTGTCGCCCATATAAGGTAAGTTTGCCTCAACAGCACTTTTGAAATTCAACCAAATTATTTCTTGATTGAATAGATTCCTTGCATGTTACACCACTGACGCACAATATATCTTAGTTAATTATAGAATAACTAACACGGAATAACTAAACTGAGAAAATGGGGCTAATTCTGCGATGTCCAACAAAGTCGTGGGTAGAATTTTCGAATTCAACTGCCGTTTGATGGTTAACCTACTTTTATGGCCCATACATTTAAATATGAATGACATGATGGCAGGAACTATTCATATTTAAATAAATAGGCTTTTATTGTAACTATACCAATAGTAACAATGTTGAATTGAATTAAATGCAGAAACGTTTGTAAGTTTTGAAATACCAAAAATACAAATTTATATTATGATTTTCAAGTGCTTCTACAGAATAGTCATTTGAATGAGCATCTATTTCGAGCAATTTTTGATCTTTCGATGAACAATTGAGTCCAAACTTCAGAAAACAACCTTTCTTGAATATACGTAACCCATTCCTACTATTTCCCCAAGTACCGCTTACCCAAGGAAATGCAGATTGGAAAGTACCGTTTTGAACATCCCATTAAAATTACATTAATTTTATAATTGTTAAATCGACCCCTCTAGAGATCCCATAATTGATAAAATATTCAAGTTGTGATGCTGATCAACCAAAAACCTGCAAAAGAATCTTAAGTACTTATGTAAGTCAATTATGAGAGATTCATTGTGACAAGAGGTCCTTATATGCACACCTGGTAATCGGAAAATGAACGGAGGGAGAGCAGTAGATTTCTGCTATGTGAACTTTTTTTCCGAGAAAGTTCAACAAATTGCAAAACGAAAAAGTGAATTGTATGGTGAAATCTTTAGCGGTTTTTTTAACAGATACACTTTTAAGGTGTGAGATCTATTTAAAAAGGCGCAACGCCGCAAGCGTGCAGAAGCCAATCTATTTAAGTATATAATATATACGTGTATATAAATCAAGCAGCGGATCCGGAGGTTCACATGATCTGTTATAAATACTAATAGATGACATTATCATCCTTACAAAACCTAACAAAACTTTCAAAAATAATCAAAATTGTAGAGTGAACCCGGTGAGCTTACTTCCCCAACCCCCCCCCCCCCCCCACACACCCCCTTCTGTTTACTGTAATATTTTGATTATTTTTTAAATAACATTTTGAAAAGTATCGTTCGAAAAAACATGTGCATTAATTTTGTGATGATATTGATATGCACATAATACAGGTCGTATATAGACATCCACTCCTTGATTTATAAGTTAGATATGCACTTTCTCATGACTATATGAATTTTCTAACAGAAATCGGCTGCTCCACCCCCCCCCCCCCCCCACCCCCGTTCAATTCTTACAGGGCCAGTTTTCATGTTTGACTATCAACACTTCATAAAGAGTGACACAAAAGACACCATGCACTACTTTTGAGATAACTTTCTCAATAATTAAGGACTCTACGTGATATTTTTTGTTTCAGATTTAGAGATATCACGTTTCCGTCCAGGCATGCTCGCTGAAAACATCAAAAATACAATTTTCTAAGATCTGGATTCCTGTCTTTACCATATTTTGAGTCATTTCTTGATTGCTTTCACTACTTAACACATATGTTATCAAAAGTATGGAATATCTACTCGATTTCTAAAATATTTTTAGTGAAATGACTCCCTTTTAGGGTACATTTTAAGAAAGACATGTACATATTTTCTAATTTACAGTTTTGAGTGATTTTGTGTCAGAGCATGCCTACACAGAACATGATTTAATTTTTAAGTTGTTGATGCTTCGCAAGTATAACGATCTTTTGTCCATTGAATACTCTACACTGTTGGTCATAAATATGGATTATTTTATAGATATTAATTGTTTGGTATAACTCTTACATATGTTAATCATTTGTTGTGGAGGTGGTTCTGTTCATATTTGAGGTGGTGTTCACCAAGGAGAGTCGCACCCTCTTGGTGAGTCTGAACTGTAATGTCAGCGGTGAGAGATACAGTGACCTTTTGGACCTACATCTAGTACCATATGCAAACAGAGTGTTTGTGCGTAACTTTTAACTGCAGCATGATGAAGCAATTCGTGACGCAGATCACCTCAAAATCCATCTCAAAATTTAGCAGAGCTATATACTCCTCTGATTGAGTAGTGGGACCTTATTTCGCGTAGACAGGTCAGACATCTCATTGACACCAGGCCCCGCAGGATGGATGCTTTGATTGCAGCACTAGGAAGAAATACCGTATATTAGTGTTGTTATGGGATAGGGGACTTATTCATCTTCATGACGTGTTGTTTTTATGTTTAGTTTGTTTGATCCGCTTTACATTAAAATTTGGATCGGGGTGTTTTGAAAATGCAATTTTTTTTAGACTACCCCATTTTAAACGACAGAGAATTTAAATGTAAATATTTTTCCCTAAAAAAAATGTTGATTTGTAGATTAAATACGTGTTTATGATTTGTCTAGAGAATAAAATTGCTTAAACGACTCCAAATAAATGTTGTCCAAAACTTGAATTCTGATCTGACAAATCTAATATTCCATATACGAGCAACTGTGTATATATACATAAAGAAAATCATGAAGATTCTTTAATCATTGAGAGAGTTATTCCAAAATTTGTTGGTGGTGTTTTGTGTCACCCAGGAGTATTTTGAACGTTTTTTAAATGATAATTATAAAATGGTGCATTACATGGTTAAATCTATTATAATTCATAAATGGGTTCACTATGTGATGTTCATCAACCAGGAACATATCGAGAACAAGTAGCTAATTAAGATAGTAACAACTGGATTCTCTCAGTGCAAAATACCTCCACTGTGAGCTTGTCCTACATTGTGTTCTTTATTAAAGTCACATTCAACATCTGGTATGAATAAACCCGTTTGTTTTAGAGCTACAGTAAAAATGATTCCACGTGGACCCTTGCTGAAATCTCCAATAATTGATCAATGGCCCCATATATGTTTGTGATGCTTAAACATGTTGCAGGATGATTATGCTAAGCTAATTAGAGAAATGTACTACATTAGGATGCTTTTAAATGATCCTTATAGTCTTTAGCGAGAGATACCGCCCATTACCCCATGTGACTCTTCTATTTACTATCTTCACTTGATTACTCTTCAATTGTTACATTTATTGTATGAACATTTATACAATAACTTGTCCAATTTATATTTAGCGTAAAATATTTACAACATTCCTGATTGTAAAAGTAACCCCCGTTATAATCTCGAAGAATTGATAAATGGCTCTTTGTGATGCTAGCTTGGTAGCCAGAAATATATTGCTGCCTGATAAACCTACGTACGCTATACGATATAAACGTCAACAGCCAGGGACCTACATTTTTGGCAGTTCCAGCCCTATTTAAATCTTCTACACAGTTTTCGAATGATGATTTCATCGTTTTAGTGATTGTTCACATTTTAGGTATGTAGATAAACAGTTCACCATAATTCAAAATTTATGAGTGATATAATTTGTAGAGCTTTGTGGTTTTGTGTTTAAAATGCAGAACTATTATTTGTGCTTGATCATATGATGAATTGAATATCAATCATAAGATGTCCATGTCTTCCTATAAACTCATTACTCGACATCAATGCGTCAAAATACTCAATTTTTAATTGGTTTTCTTGATAATTTTGTAGTAATGTAGTTCTCTCCTGTCAATAAATCGATAAGAGTCACGTCCAGGGACATAGTATATCAGCACAATAAGGATACGACGATAGCCATATCTAAGTACAGGAAAAAATGACCACACGTATTGGATTATTACTACCCATATTTTGTGCATTGTATATAACGTTTACTAATGCCGAACCTAAAATTGGTAAGTAACTGCATATGTTTGCAGGAAGGACTTGTCAAGCCAAATCTATTACGGTGACGTGATCTATGAGAACCAAAGAAAGGAGCAATGTAAAAGAGAAATGTAAAAGATGGATTGAAAAAAATCAGGAAAGGAAAATGAAACCATGTTTTTGCGTGAATATCAAAAGACAGACGGAATATGCATATAAACATACAAATAATACAACTATAAATTCAAATGGTATTGCAACTGAACAACAACAAATAATTGCTATCAATTATTGATATAAATTAAAGGATAAAAGGTTTAGCAACGTCGAACACGTAACAAATAATCAAGAGGTGGCATCGAAAGAATGTATGCTAAGAAAACCTCACAAATTATTTTCAACTCAGATATTTCCTCATTGCAAATACAATTCCATGGTATTCTAAGGCATGAGATCTATTTTAAAAGACGTAACGGTATGTATCAGATGCTGGCACACTTTTGCCGGAAGGTTGCTAGAAGTAACTTTTGGCAATGCAGTATGTTAGAGTAACCTAGTAGGTGTAAGAAAATATAAGGTGATGGGCTTTAAAGTGGTAAAAACAATTTTTACGGCCGAATTGGACTTCAATTCCTGCGATTTTAGGGGGTACTATAAGACTATTTCATAACATAAAGGGTATAGTTGCTATTGTTCTGCTTTCTACATCACACATTACTAGTCTAAAGATGAATAATATCCTAAAGTTATAGGCCGATATCTGTATTAGTCTCAGAAATATTGCAATTAATAAGGAAAAAATGTGCAATTTTAGTCATTTTTAAGTCTCACCTATTTTATATTTGTAGCTTCCAGCAAAAGATGGCAGCTTAAATAGCTCAAAATTGTTTTCTAAAAACTAAGTCAAGCTTTGTTTGATATTGTAATACAATTATAATAATGATAATGTACTATATATGATTTTTAATGTGACTTTATAGTACCCTACCCCTGGAAAGTGGGCGTGGTCAATGTTATCATTTTGCAGCATACTGTTACTAAAAGCTTGTTTCGATAAAAAGCAAATCGATGCATTTAAAACATATTCACTTGTTACTTGACAATGTAATTCATTTATTACTAGAATATATGACTCTGCATATTTTATGTATACGTTTTCAATTTTGTACAATGTATCATTATGAAATCTAATAGGCTGTTTCATTTTCAGTGTTCACAAACACATGAAATGTAAGTCACAGTGTTTCCAAATTACCTTGGCAATGAGAAAGTACCACAAAGACTACATAATATAAGCAGATTCAAGGTCCTAATTCTAATACTTACCCATCTATCGGCGTTCAAAAATAGAGAAAGCTGTCGTGAGTGCAGTTTTAACTAATTTTGAACTGGAATTGCTACTTAATGAATATTTATTTCAACATCTGTGACTTTTTTGTACCCCAAACACAAGATACCAAGAAACAATGCTTCCAAGTTCTGATATTGGAAGTTTCAGAGCTCTAGATCAAATATTCACTTCTGCATGTACTTTTAAAAAGACCCAAAAGGACAAAAAATCTCTCAGATATCGTGAAAAATATGAAAGATGCACTATTCAGAACAATTTATCTCTTAAATGTTACTTTTATTTGACATAATTTCTTATTTTGCCTCCAGTTAGTACCACCAATAATACATATGAGAAGACTTAAGGTCATAGTAAGTGGAGTTACAGATCTATTGGCTTCTGAAAATAGGAAAAGCTGTAGCAAGTATGATTTTCACCAGTTTTTAATCGAAGACTGCAACTTTCTGGATTTTCTTTTTACAAAATGCACCGTAAGACCAAAGACATTAAAGGAAACCTGGTCATTGTACCACCAATAATAAGTTAAAAAATTAATATTGGTAATATATCAAGTATTTACTTTAATTCCAAGGCATCTGAATTAATAAATAAATGAAATCAGTACTTTATTGTATCTTGGGACAAAATACACTGTTTGAATGCATTTAAGCTTGACATCACAGTATCAAGTGAAAGATACTTTGTTATATACAGCTATATATCACTTTAACTGACTTTACTCTTCAATTTGAAATATGCCTGGCCATCCTAAGAAAAAAGCGACGGAGGGCAAAGAGGGTGCATGGTATAATTGGTATTAAGCTCTTATAGAGTTTAAAGCTCCCACAATTTTTGAAAACGAAATGGAGAATAACATGTGAAAGTATAAGATGGACTTATTATTCTTGGAAAGTTTTGGAAAGTAACATTGCATATAATATTTAAGCAAGAGATATGTTCCAAAATACTTTCAGGTAGAAATAAAGCTCCGTAATGTAAAAGCAATTTATTCTCAGTATTCAATAATAACATTCTTTATAGGTTTTTTGGTCTTAAGCATATCAGTGATTATACCAATTCGGATGCTGAAGTCACTTAATAGATTATAACTAGATGTAACTCCTAGTAAGTACAACAAGTTTCAGTTCTAAATAAAATACAGTTTAGTTAAAAAATTGTTAAGAATACATACATTTTGTCACAATTTCACATTTCTGACTGTATTTTCCATATTTTTAGGTGTCAATGGTTACTCTCATATATAGTTGGTGGTACAGTAATATGGAATCCTGTCTTTGGGGGTCTCATGGAATTCTTGTTTTAGAGAAGAAAATCCTGAAAGCTGCAGTTTTATATTATGAATTATAGGTGAAGATTGCACTCGCTACAGCTTTTCCTTTTTAGATGCTAATAAATCTGTAACTACACTTACTATGACCTTTAGTCTACTCATATGTATTATTGGTATTACTAACTAGAGGCAGAATCAGAAATGATGGCAAATAAAAGTAAAATTTGATAGATAAATTGTTCTGAATAGTGCATTTTATCACATTTTTCGCGATATCTGACTGTATTTTGTGTCTTTTGGGTCTTTTTAAGATTTCATGCAGATATGAATACTTGATCTAGAGCTCTGAAATTTTCAATACCAGAATTTGGTAGCACTTTGTCTTGATATCCTGTGTTTGGAGTCTAACCAAATCACAGATGTTGAGAAAAAATTCATAAGTAGCAGTTTTAATTCAAAATTAGTCATGAAACGGCACTCGGGACAGCTTTCCTCATTTTTGAACGCCAATAGATCGGCAAGTATTTAGACTATGATCTTGAATTGAATCTGCGCATATGTATTCTTAATGGCACTATCTCATTGCCCAGGTATTGTGGAAACATTGTGACTTAGTACCCCGGACAGGTTGTATGATGCAGTCGTTTTTCTACTCTATATTTGCAATAGATCAACCATTTTTATTGAAATTTTCAAGATTTATTCTAGAGACAATTTCCAACATGGAAAATAAATATTTTATCAACGTTTCCAATTTTATGATTTTGACGGGCTTTTTTCAAAAACACTACACTGTCAATAAAATACAGGTTTTTGCATGAACAATTGAACTTTTAACGTAATTTCAAATATTGTCTGGCTATGGAATTTAGTCTTTCCAGATATATCTGTTGCCATATTCATAATAATGGCTAATTATTGTTATTCACTTGAGTCATATTCAATATTATTACAGTGCATTAGGCCAATAAAAATTTGTTGCTCTGGGCCTCGTTTTGTGAAGCGTTCCCTAGATTGAGCCCAGATAGAGGAGGTCAATCTTCTTGTCCACAGACATGAGTTCAACCCGGTCACTGTTCAATACTGTCCAAAATAAAGTAAAACATTACAAATCTCCTATTTGAGGTATTCTTAGCATTAGATCCTTCAGAGATGTTAATACAGCTGTGTCAAATTTTATCATGAAATTGTCAGGGAGACCTGACATTTTAAAAGCATGGTACAATTTACGTGCCACGGGCTCGCATGCTGAGTGACGGTGGCGGAAAAACCCAGTGGAGAAAAAGGTGCGTTTTCAGAGAAAACGTGACCCAGAATGACAAGTTTTTCATTGGCCTAATGCACTGTAACAATATTAGGCCTATTGAATATGACTAAAATGAATAACAATAATCAGCCATAATTAATATGGCATCAAATACATCTGGAAAGACTTTAGGCTGTCAAAAGTCCAATAGCTAGACAATCTTTGAAATGACGTCAAAAGTTCAATTGTTTAAGCAAAAACCTGTATTTTATTGACAGTGTAGCGTTTTTGAAAAAAGCCCGTCAAAATCATAAAATTGGAAATTTTGACAAAATATTTATTTTCCATGTTGGAAATTGTCTCCAGAATAAAATATGAAAATTTCAATAAGAATGGTTGTTCTATTGCAAATATAGAGTAAAAAAACGACTGCATCATACAACCTGTCCGGGGTACTATATTTCATGTGATAGTAAGCACTGAAAATGGACTTGTTGCATTGTGGCGGACCCCATACAAAACAAACATTGGGGTAGAGGGGGGGATTAAATGTTGATCAATTCTGCTATTTTTGTGGCTATTGGTCATATAGAAGATCATTTTGTCAAAAGGTTAGGGTGATCCGAGAAAAAAGTTGGTAAATTGAAACAGCCTATTAGGTTTCATTATAAGACATTGTATACTAAATTGAAAACGTATATATAGAAAATGTAGAGTCCTATATTCTAGTAATAAATGAATTACATTGTCAAGTAACAATTGAAGATGTTTTAAATGCATTGATTCCCTTTCTATGGAAACAAGTTTTTAACAGTATGCTGCAAAATGATAACATCGACCACTTTCCAGGGGTATGGTACTATAAAGTCACATTAAAAATCATAAATAGTACATTATCATTATTATAGTTGTATTACAATATCAAAAAAAGCTTGAACTAGTTTTAAGAAAACAATTTTTACTGGAAGCTACAAATATAAAATAGGTGAGACTTGAAAATGACTAAAATTGCATATTTTTTTCCTGTAAAATACAATATTTCTGAGACTAATACAGATATCAGCCTATAACTTTATGATATTATTCATCTCTGGACTAGTAATGTGTGCTGTAGAAAGCAGAACACGATAGCAACTATACCCTTTATGTTATGAAATAGTCTTAAAGTACCCCCTGAAATCGCAGGAATTGAAGTCCAATTCGGCCGTGAAAATTGTTTTTACCACTTTAAAGTCCATCACCTTATATTTTCTTACTCCTACTAGGTTACTCTAACATACTGCATTGCCAAAAGTTACTTCTTGCAACCTTCCGGCAAAAGTGTACCAGCATCTGATACAGTACCAGCGTGAAAAAAATCGTTTTGCAATGAATACGTATAAATGACGCAATCATACAAAATGTTTATCGTTGCTGATTTTAATTGTGATACAAAATGTTGGCAAAGGTAATATAACGAAACAGTGATAGGAGGGAGATGCAGCTACCAGGTCGTTCAATAAGTTCATGCAAAATCATTCTCTTTTTTATTGTTTTTCCTTGAAACTTTCACAAAATATAGGAAAAATATCTACTCATTAAAAAACAGAAAAATAAATTACTTTGTTCTGCTTGGTAAAAAATTATGGTTGCTATGGTAACCCGTGTATTGGTCACTACTCTGGCCAATCAAATAGAAGACGCTTTAAATTCACAGAATAAAGGTAAAAATGTTTGAGCTACAAACTCTGAAAATTTCATCAAGATTGGTGCAATATTGAGAAAGTTACAATATCTTTCACCTTATTTATTGGACACCCTGTATATTACAAAAGGATGGTATCGATATGGTGAACTTTTGAACACATGTTTCTCTTAAACCAGCCATCAAACAATTCTGAAAATTTCACAAATCGTCAATTTGATAGATAGTCATATTCTGAATGGTAACAATATAATTTGAAATAAATATATATACCTTTCTCTATATCGTTTTAGAAAACACATCAGCCACTTATTTTGGTCTTGGTATCATACATTCGGAATGAAATGAAACATCTATCCGAACCTCATTGGAACAAAATGACAGAAGCACAAAGTATATAGGTCTTCTAATATTGTAATTGTACAAAGGAAAGTTTGGTTGATTTAAAAAAACTATCTTCTTGATGAAATAAAATGTTTATCTTAATTTTTATCTATCCGGGGGATTTTTGTTTTAAATTTTTGAATAATTTTTCTTAAATCAACCAAACTTTCCTTTGTATAACTATATAATATTGAGAGAACTAGGAAAATGTATTTGCAATTTTGTTGCAACAAGTTTCGGGAAGATATTTTATTTAATTCTGAAGAATTGGTAATATGGAACAAAAAACAATTGCACTAAAACCCCCAAAATGTTAACAAAAACAATTATATAAAATATGTAAATTAATTTCGCAGCCGCCATTAAATTGTTGTCGATCAGTCAACATTACATAAAGGGTCGCGTTTTTTACAGAATGTCTTCAGTAATTGGTTTAAGAGAAAAACATCCCCATGTGGACTACGTGATAATGTGGGAGAATTAAACAGTAACACACCAAATTAATCAGAGGAATTGTTTTATTCTTTTTTCTCTCCAGAGTGTACCAATGATAGATATGGACAAGTGACCGCTGACAAAGATAGTAATTGTCATTACTTTTTCTGTACGGCTCGTCGTAATTGGTCACACAGGAGATGTGAAAGCGGGGGGTCTGTTCCCAAGCGCTACATGAGGAAATTCAAGAGCCAATCTACGAGGGTCAACTTATGCAGGACTTATGATAAAAATTGCAAAGAATCTGCTGCTGAGTTGAAAAGTATTGACGTTATCTATTAAAACACAAATACTGTAAAGCATCATCGAGTATGGGATTCACATACCTTCCAAACGACGTAACTTTTTATGCTTTCTCAAATGAGTACTTTACATATTTAAATTTTAACACAACATTTATTTTACAGAGGTGACAACAGAACCAACATATACCCCTAGCTCTATAGAATGTAAAGAAGTCCAGCAACGAGGTTGTAGATCAGAGGGGGAATGCTGCGATGGTTTACAGGGTACCAGTTTACTATGCAAAGAAAGTATATGCTGTGTGCCTGAGCGTGGGCCATGTGTTGAAGATGAGGATTGTTGTAGAGGTGGAAATCTTAAGTGTACTGAAGGTCGTTGTATTGGTAAGTATGCGATACACCTGGAATAAAGAAAGATGCTCTTCTTTTAAGTTATCAGAGTAGGCTTTGTATAAAAACCTCCTACATCATACCCACCTACCCACGTACGTGGGACATGATACGGTCTTTGAAGGGTTCAATTTTAAAGATCTTAGTTTATTAAATCTTAGGTTATGATGAATTATAGATGCATTTGTAACGACCCTTGATAGCAAGTTGCTACTACATTCTAGCTGGGTTCGATTCCCACTCGGGGCATCGAATTTAGCACAGTTTATTTCAATTTCTTTATCTGGCTTGTTAGACCTATGCTCGCGGTCGGTCGTTGGTTATTTATTCCCCTGAAGCGCCCTCAGGTCATTACACATTAAAATGCATCCATATGCCTTAATTTATGGATCTGTCATCTATGCAGTCATAAAATAAAGCCGGAATTGTAGAAATGTTAATAATTTGAGCTATTTTTAGATTTAATAATAGTCTTTAAAATTGAACCCTTCAATGACTGTATCATGTTCCACGTAGGTGGGTAGGTGGGTATGAGGTAGGAGGTTTTTTATACAAAGCCATCAGAGTATAAGAAAATTGAGACGTTTTCACATGTTTCGCAGTTAAAGAGGATTGAGACATGCAATTATAATAACGATGCAGTCTTATCATGATATACTTTGAATTCTGAACGTGTTTTCAGCTCTTGATTGTGAGTACCCCGTTGCTCCGGAGAATGGTAGAATCGACTCCGGAAGTGCTCCGAATCAACAAGGACGATTCAAACCTGGCGAGACTGTATCATTCAGGTAAGGTTATCATATTGTATTTTCTTCTTTAAAGCTACGTTCACAAAGCGGCACCAAAGCGGAGCAAAGCTTGATTAAAGCGTCGGGGTTGTAATAGGTCGTAGAAAAGCTCGGAGGAAAGCGGGATATTCGGCAAGAGCTCTAAAAAATTAAACTGTTAAAGCTACGTTCACACCAACGGCGAATGCCACGCTTTAAACCGGCGAGCAAAGCGGCACCAAAGCGGCGTTGGTGTGAACGTAGCTACCCCCACTTATGTTTGGCAATATTTTATTAGGCTTAGCATCATTTAGTATCATAATCAGCAAGACATGATTGGGCATTCTTGGCACAATATACAAAATGCGAGTAGAAACAATCTCCATTAAAAAAGTCAAAAGGATTGGTATCGATATGGTGAACTTTTTGAACACACGTTTCTCTTAAACCATAATCAAAAAATTCTGAAAATTTTACACATTGTTAATTGAATGGTCATATTTTGAATGATAATAATATAATTTGAAAAAATGTATATACTTTTCACTAATATTTAGGAGAAAACACATCAGATACTTCTTGTTCTTGGTATCATATGTTCGGAATGAAATGAAACAGCTATCCGAACCTCATTGGAACAAAATGACATAAACACAACGTGTTTAGGTCTCTCAATAGTGTAATTGTACAAAGGAAAGTTTGATATCTTGTTAATGAAATAAAAAGGTTTATCTTAATTTTTATCTATTTCGGGGGGAGTTGTTTTAATTTTTTGAACAATTTTTGTGAAATCAACCAAAATTTCCTTTGTATAAATATAATATTGAGAGGTCTTAGAAAATTTTGTATATGCTATTTTGTTCCAACAAGGTTCAGAAAGACATTTTATTTTATTTTGAAGAATTGGTAGAAAGGAGCAAAAAGCAATTACACTAAAAAACGAAAAACAAGAACACTTATATAAAATATACATAAATTATTTCCACATTAAATTGTTGTCAGTCAGTCAACATGTCACAGTCACAGTTTTCAATAATTGGTTTAAGAGAAAACCATTGTTGAATTCAGTTCACCATATCGATACCTAACCTTAATCTAAAGGGATATCATTCTACAGAACAAATTAACAGCAAATCTGCTCTATTATTTTCCAAAATTAAACTGCAGTCGACTGTAAACGAAATGGTACCAGAAATACTCCATTAGAAATTAATTGATATATCTCACTTTTCTAGCTGTAACGACTGCTACACACTATCGAAAAATGCTGCTGGTATAACTGATAAAACTGTAGAGTGTCTGCCCAATGGTGAAGTTGATGATCCAGTCCCAACATGCGAAAGTTTGTATTTTTCTTGTAGAACCATACAATAACACTTATCAACAACCCTGAAGATAATCCAGAAAAACACCCATCAATTAATACTGTATTAGTTTTAGACTAGTAGCTAGTACAAAGTATTTAATATATCTCTTTCTGATACAGGACTACAATGTACTGATGTAGTAGCACCAGAAAATGGAGGAAGATCACCACGAAGGGGCAATAACAATTGCGGTGATCAAGTGACTGTTGAATGTGATGACGGATTTAAGCCAACTGAAGCACTTGTTTTAACATGTGAACAAATAGGAACCTCGGTTAGATGGGACAAAGATCCACAAACATGTGAACCAGAAGGTAATTATGCAAGTGGCTTTTTTCCAAAGTCCTCAAAATTCATTAATTTATTGTCGAGGCCATGGAAATATGATGTACCAATTAGACTAAATAGAGTACAACTTGACCCGGAAATTAAATCAATTATAGAACATGTTAAGATTTACCGGATGTTTACTAAATATGTAATAATACACCATCCCAAGATCATCCCAAGTTACACCGTAGTATAGGACTTCAAGGGCGAGAAAAGGAAGTGAATGAAAAAATGAAGAGGTACGCCGTCGACCTTTTCCAAAATGGGAATTGCTACAAAAAAATATTGCAGTATAAAACTCTTACGATACTCTGACATCGATCGTTCTTTTACACTGCTAATTCATGTTTTATTTATATATTGTAAATAAATTGGGCAACAGTAACAAAATAGCATATTGTAAACATGGATGTTAGAAATAAAGATCACAGCGAAAAAAAGAGTTATCTATGAAAAGTATTTAATCAGTTTTAAAGTATTTTACAAAGCGTAGAATAAGAGGTTGTCACTATTTGTTTTACCATATACCCATTATGTAAGCAAAAACAAAATGATAAGCCTTTTAATTTAATTACCGACAGGTTCTAATTAGCATTTAAAGGCATTTTGCCATTCAACTCCTATAATCCCAGCTAGCAGGGAAGGTAAAATGTACTAATGACTGGTTACATGACCTAACTGGTGATCAGTACATTTTATCTTCCCCGTAAGCAGGGATTTAGAACTTTTCATGGAATAAGTTCATCTATTTGATATCATGTGACCATGAATAAGCCAATGAGCAACGAGAATACATATGAGGTATGTATAATAGGCAATAACGTACATGTATTCCTCCATATGCACAGATTTACTTGGAGAAAGCATTATAATAACAACATTGAATCTTGATTGAGTTAAACTATTCCCACTTCCAATGGTCACCTGTGTTATTTTGTGTTGGTGAAGAAGATAGGGGGCAGTTTTGAAACAAGACTATAGTGTGCATCCCCTTCCCTGTTTCACAGCTTATCTTATTTCAATGAAAATCTCTACTTCAATGTAACTTTGAACGCATTTTTACAATTGTACATTATTAGACCTCAGACACCATTGGACAACTAGATATTTGTTTTTATAATTCGCCTTGTTTAGATGCTGAAATCTGATTACTATAGTAGTAATATGCTCGTAATTTGGCCATATCTGGCACTTCTTAAAAACTGACCATTTTTTATATAATGTTCAGGAGACTGTCCAGTACTTTTTGAAGAATTCCACTAAATCATTTCATTTTACTTTACCCTGAGTAATATTCAAAGTAAACGCATTCGTTGTGTGCCAAACAAATGGAAAAAGTGAACATTTAAAAAAATATTCATTCGGAACTCGTGTGTAATACAGCAGGAACACTCTGTTATTAGAAAATGAAAATACGATTCCCGGGAACGTGTAGTCAAGGTAAATAAGGACAAATAACTTTTGATTAAATGTGATCTAATTTCAGAAACTCCATGCCAAGAAGTCAATCAACAATGTGGAGATGATCTTGGTTGCTGCAAAAGGGTTAATGAAGTAATGGCATGTGGATTTTCAAAAACATGTTAGTACACAATATACCAGTAATATTTCATTTTTATGTTATTGTGACCTGCTTAACGACTCGCTTCATTCTTAATTAAAGCAATCCAGTATTTAGAAAAATAGTTCAGAAAAAAACACTTTATTTCATAGGTTGTAGAGAACGAAGTCAGAAATGTTCGTCAGATGGCGATTGTTGTAGAGGCTTGAGCTGTAGTGACGAAACAGGAACTTGTGAACCACGTAAGCCGATCTTATCCTATCAAAATTCACGTCTTTCACTGTTGGTACTCAACTCTAGAGTTACCTTGTTTTTTATCACACCATCGATGGGATAAAAAATGTCATGATGACGGCGTGATAGTGTTCGTGGTCGTGATCGTTATCGTGATCGGGCTCTTGCCATCGCGATTTATCTCAGGAAAACCACTTATTAGATTTTCTACAAACTCGCACACATGATAGAGGATATCAATTTCTAAACCCGATTAACTTTTAGGCGGCAATCATGTTTTCTGTCGGCCATTTTGAAGGTTTTTCTATAAATCTTGTCATCGCGATTTCAGGAAAACCACTCATTATATATATTTCACTCGCCCATATTATCACTCTACAATACCTTGCATTTGGGGTTCATGAGCAACCCATTTGGCTTTTTAGTAATGATTATCTTTGTTTGTTCCTTATTAATGGTTTATCGGATGACTTTTAGATGTTAATAAGGTACTTTCAAAAATATAAGAAACAATACAATCAGACAAACGGAGTACCTCTATGCATTTCTAGGGGTTAGGTATAGTAGAGTGATGATAGAGGATATCAAGTTCAAGAGCTGATTAAGCCCGATTTCAGGAAAACCGCTAATCGGATTTTCTCCAAATTTAGACACATGATAGAGGATATCAAATTCTAGAGCTGATTAACTTTTTGGTCCCCATCTTTTTTGCGGTCATTTCAAAGGTTTTTCGATGGTGTGATCTCGTTCACGTCATATGTCTTGTTTTCTTTTCAGCAATTACTATTGATTGCTCGGATGCTATTGATATTGTATTTGCCGTGGATACATCCTGCTCCATATCCAGTCTTGACAAAGATAGGATTCGAACTTTCATGACAGAAATAGCTCGAGCCTTCTTCTTAAGTCCCAGCATTGAGGATGATGGCGTACAACTGGGTGCACTAACCTTTAATGAAGGAACCCAACATGTTGTATATCTATCAGACGTGGACAACCCTGATAAGGTTATAAAGCGTATGGAGTCAATGAATCTTACTGAAGTTGGATGTAGAACCCATACATTTGCAGCTTTGGAGAGAATGGAGAACGAGTATTTTACTCCGGAGAAAGGAGATCGTCCTGACGCTATCAATAAGGTCATTGTGTTGTCAGATGGAGTAACTAAACCTAGTAGTAAGTATGCGTTTTACACAATGTCGCAACATACCCGATTTGATCAATATTAATGTACTAAGTCTTCTTTACAATCTTTCAAAATTGTTTTCTTGATCATTATAAGACTTTAACATTCACTGTAATGCTGTCTTAACAATTGTAATTTTTGTGTAGAATTATGTAAACAAAATGATCAGTATAAGATGTCAACTTGATAGATTTATCTTATTAAGTGGATTCTTGCCGATTAATTCCCGGATAGAGAAAAATGTTCTTTATTGCAAATATGTTCCTGGCTGAGAGAAAATTTCAAAATGATCTAGTCGTTAAAGAGTTTTAAAGCAATTTTACAATTATTAAATTATTATTTCCGACATGTATTATGTACTGTAAAGACTTAATTGAAGAACATTTACGCGCATTTGGCATATTATATTCTACATTTCATTGCCATATATGCGACATACCCAAAAAGTATATCACTGTCATATTTCCAACTCTCTTATTGGTCTATACCATACACGTGACCAAAATATAAGAAGACGTATTCATCGGCCAAGCACTTTGACGTCATTAGAAAGGTGAATTCAATGAGCGTCTTTATCAGGTGTGGCGATATCGTCCAGTGTAAATCTAAAAGCCATCCCATCAATAATACGAAAACATATCAGACGAATGGTTCAAGGGAAATTCCAATGAGGAAAAGGTGGAATACTTTGTTTGCATTTTACGTAGACAATATAATGAATGGTACAAAAAAACGAAGGTTGACTCATACATAGCCTAACAGGTTGAGTTAAACTTAATGGTGAGAATGTTGTATATAATGTACTTGGTTTGTAAACACACATTCCTTCTCTATTTGTCTAAACTTGCAATGCCATTTCAGGCAAGGAGAGTAACACATTTAACAATGCGGATTCTCTAAGAGCCACCGGTGCAGAAATTGTGGTTGTCGGTCTACCTCAGGGTTGTCCTCCGGATAAACCTAAATGTGTAGAAAAGGTAATTGGACAAGATGAATGGATGGCTATTTCTGGAGCTGATGAGGATCCAAACCTGTTGCTCAACATATTAAACACAGACTTCACCAAACTCAGAGAAACAATTATAAATATTGGAAATAAGGTCTGTGGTCCTGGAAGTGTTAAAATAAATTAAATAGGACAAATTATTTTGTTGGAATCAAAACATGTCAAATAAAGAAAAATTGATTGATTCTAAGTAGTGTGTTGTTTATTTATTATCTTAATCGATGATCTTAACCGTAAGATGATTTCATTTCGTTGCAATTAGATTCTTGTTCAAATCCTCCGACAACTGACAGAAAATCGCAGTACAACGTATACAATTTTTGTTGGAATATTTAATTGTTTATCAATATTGATTGATAAAATTGCTAGTAATATTCGAGATATTACTGGAATATGTACCATATATATACCAGGATGGTACATAGTTTTTCAGAGATTTTGATTGATACTTCCGGACTTCACTTGAAAGAAAACATATTGTTTTGATAAAAACCACTGTATTCTATATGGCCTGAAAGTATTCGTGGTGAAAGATAACCGTCCAAAATCACTTGCCATACCTCACATGGTTCTTTGAAACAAATCCGTCAACACTGTGTTTGGGGTATAGCCCGAACAACCGAAAGGACGGGCAGCTTTTCTTTATCCCTACGAATTTCCGGGAAACTTGTATAATTACTCGTGTCTCTCAAAAACTCAATTCAATTTGTAATTCATCATACGTAATATGTAGTTAATTGGTTATGTCATTTCTTATTGATAAATCTTTCAGTCAAATATCTATACGAGTATACGAGATATCAGCACAATAAGGATACGTTAGGTACAGGAAATAAACTGAAATGGAAATATATATTGGATTAGTTTTCGTACATATAATTTGTGAATTTTACATCACTTTTTGTAATGCTGACTTTCCTAACTTTGGTAAGTACATTTAAGAACTCCAATCTCATTGCAGAAAGAAATATTCAAAGCAAACCTTTCGGGTATCTGTTAAGGGAAGTATCAGATTTAGTAAGTAGTAGTCGGAGCACGCTTGACAAAAATTGTTTATTGGGCTCATATAATTCCTTATTATGTCTTTTTCTAAAAATCCTCAAAGTGTATACTTGGTTATTTCAAAATAAAGTAGATCATTTTTCTATAAATATGAAAACCACATTTATTACTTGCGAGAATTTATCGGGAGATCAATTTCTCTATTTTCACTTTGAAACTTGACTAGCTTCACCAACCAACTGTTTCTTCCTTTGAAATAAGAAATATAAACAATAATTATTTCTTCGCGAGAGTCATGATTACTGCTTCGTACTTTACAATTGTAAGGTCTTAATCACAAGCGAATATATATTTATAACATATAACATATGTTAGAAATATTATCTTCTTTTCATTTTGATGATCATACCGCTTCACTTTGTATTCTTAGTATTTAAAGCATACCTTTCCAAACTTGCTTAATGTTTCAAGGCAATGTCGAGTGCTTGACGCCTATTCGCCGGCCAGAACTAAAAACTGATTCTGGTCCATATAAAACATAATGGTCTTTGGCTCTTTGGTTGGACCAACTTTTCGACGCTGGCTAAAATCAAGACTCGCGAAAACCACTCTTGTTTTCAAATTCATCAGATTTGGCAACTGTATGACGGTGTTAATCGAGAATAATTATAGCATTGTGTCACTTGTGAGTATACTCGAGGGTCAATCACTGGATATTAAGCATTTCAGTATTTATTTATTGTTTGAAAATTATCAAAATTGGCACAATCACAAAATAATACCCAAAAACAACAACTCTGGGAGTCGTTCTTGAACCGGTCGGTTAGGTCCCAGGTTAACATCAGCAATACTTAAATCAATTAGAAATAAAAGCAAACTCAACAAAAAATACCTCCGAGATCCCAACGATCAAAATATAAAGCAATATAAATCTTTTGCAAATCAATTAAAAACCACAATAAAATTGTCTCAAAAACAGTATTACAATTAAAAATTTGCACATTATCAGGGAAACATAAAGGCAAATTGGCAAAATAATTAATGAGATACTTCAGAGGAAAAATAAAAATGATTAAATATTTGAAAGTCTTTTATTCAAGATAATGTTGAATTAACTGATAAACAAAAAAGTTTTGTAGTAAATTGATAAATGATTAGCTAAAACAATTCTAAACGATTAGCGAGTAAAATACCAAATTCAAATAAAAATTCTTTGGACTTTATGCAATATAGGGAGACAAGCTTTAACTCTTTTGCTAGATACTGTTTAAGCAAATGAATTGAATAAAATAATAACCAACTTAAAACCCTCTGCAGCAGGACATGATGATTTTAAACCTTTATCATTGAGGATTGTGGATTGTTATTTCACCATCCTCTTTTACATTATCTTTAATTTATCTCTTAAAAGCGGAATTTTCCCAGATCGACTTAAAATAGCAAAAGGTATTCCTTTATACAAAAAAGACGATGCACAATTTTTCACAAATTATCGTCCAATCTCGGTTTTACCCCCGTTTTACCCGTGTTTTCTAATTGTCATGGAAGTATAAGGTGATCAGATTAAAATAATGTCCGATGGAGACCGGTGAAATAATGGAACTGCTCATTCTACAAAAAGATCGGCGGTCTTTTCGAAGAGGACTTCGTCGGACTTTATGGGATTTCATCGGATTTTTTATAAAATACCTGTCCAGACCGATCAAGATGAGAAAGATCTAAAAATCTTTTTAAGACCGACAAAAGGCCGGCGGTATTTTCTCCCATAATCGGAAATACTTCGATCATAAAAAAGACCGATTCAAAAGGATTTCCATGTGGAAAGAGAAACCCAAGTAAAGCTTATTTGGAATCAAAATCAATGGTATTAAGAAAAGAAAAAAAGTACAATAAAATTAGGTCTACTTTGACAGAATGCTCAATAGGACAATCAATAAAATTCAATTCTTGAAACAATTCTTAGTTCTGACTTTATAAAATCAAATTGGTGATGCATAGCTTTAAGACAAACATACACAGACGAGTCACGGTGGTACCCCATATACTAAAGCCCAACACACACCAATGGGGCACGGTGGACCTCCATAGACTTAACATTGCCTGGGACCTCGTGGGACTTCACGGGAATCAAATAACAAATAGTACAGAGTTTTCAAATTACGGGTCAAAGTAACTATCACAACCTTGTGTAGGATATTGTAATTTCTAATAATTTTTCTTAAACAATTTAAAATGATGAACTGATTTGTGTTAATAAGCCAATGCTAAATATAAATTGAACACTATACATTCAGAAAAGTACATGAAGATTCCTTCATAATAAGAATAAGAGGGGAGAGTTTTAGTTGGTCACCCTCTACATAAAACAAAAACATTACAATTTGATGGTGCACTACAATCAAAAGACAATGTGTACATTCATTGAATAAAATCAATGAGAAAATCTTGCTAACTGACAAGCTTATAAAAATGGGAACATTAAACATGAGTCACTTCATGTTATTTAGAAGAAGAAAAATGTAATTATTGATTTTCAAAAAGATTGATGATAATTCAAATCAACACTGGAAATTAATTATACCAAACACACAATATAGACTTCGCAGCTTTAAATCACGTTGAAGTCTCGTTTTAATGAGATGTTCGGATATCTTCATGTTGATGTTATACAATCTTGTTACAATTGGGAGAAAATATAAAAAGTATTTTTTAAATAGTACACACTTATCGACCTATCTTACGAAATCAAAGTATTTCTCTCCATATAGACAGAACTAAATGTTAATAAGGTCATCAATGTCGAACAAATAACCAAATAGTGTGCACGTGGAAAACTACGTGCATCATTTGAGCTGCTGATGAAAGACATTTAATGGACAGAGGAATAGTTTAATAACTCTTTAATATTTTTCTTCCAGAGTGCACCGATAACAGATATGGAGAATTTACTCCTGACGATGAAAGTAATTGCCATTACTATTTCTGTACGGCTCGTCGTAATTGGTCACATAGGAGGTGTGAAATTGGGGGCTCTGTCCCCAAGCGTTACATGAAGAGATTCAAGAACAACTCTACACGGTTTAACCTATGCAGAACTTATGATAAAAATTGCAAACAATCTGCTGCTGAATTGAAAGGTATTAGTAGTGTATACTAGGGCCCAAATCTGCATTATAGTAGATTGTTGGAAAGCTGAGAGTGTCCGCTTTAGAAATCAGATCTCCATTCGAATTTTGGTGAATTTAGAAATACATGTAGATATTAACCTTTACATCCCCAAGGGATCCCTATGATGCAGAATGGATTATGTTTAGGTTTACAATAGCTAATTTAGTGTCAATTTATACTTTGGAAAACATTAAGAGTTTGAACCCAGATTGGCTGAGATGTTTTTAAGTGCGGTGACCCCATTTGCTACAAAATGCGTCAGGATTTTTATTTGAGGTAGAAATTAGATTTTATATTTGAAAATAGTATGTACGTTTGAGTATTTAGTTTGTAGAATCCAAAATTACTATTTAAATATAAGATTGCAGCAAGTGTGTATTGACACAAAGGCATTTAATTCGGAAACCATATATTTTCACATACAGACATCCTCCCACTCCTCCCAAACTGAGGAGAAAAGCAAAGTCGCACAATTGATTATAGAGAATGACACAAATATATTTTTATTCAATTAAAGTAGATTGTCCTGTTTGCAAATAAATTTGGGGGGAAACTTCAAAGAGAAAATGTTAACATAATCACGGAGTCCAAATACCATAACTACATGTATACTCTATACTGTTGTGCTGCTAAGGCCACTAAATTTGTCATGGATTTTAGATTTGAAATACAAACCAATTGTCAAAACATTTTTTGATTGAAAAATAATGATTGATTTATTCACTTTACCTAATGGGGATGAAAGGGTTAATATACATTTTCGCAGTCTCCAAAAATTCGAACGCTAGTGCAGATGAGATCATTTTTTCACAAAGGATCGCACTCGTTGCACAAGTGTATTATCATTGTCGATTATAAATTATGTAGAATAAGATCCATTTGTGTTCTATAATCCATTATGTCATTTTCAAAAGAACCTTTGTTGAAGTATATTTTTAGCTACCTACATTTATAGTAAGCGTATTTATTCGATTTTTAATTTTATTGTTTAATATCGCTTGTTTGATTTTGGAATTTTCTATTTAAACCTGCACATCGCTATAAAACGCAATATGTATTTTTGCATTTTCATACAGCCAACAAGATTATTAAAGCTCTAGTATAAAGTTGGCGTGGCTAAAAGCTTTTTTCTGCGTAATAGCAAAGCACAATCATTTTGCTATAAAACGTTCTAATTCAGTATTGACGTCACGTTCTAAATTAAGAAACCTTCCAAAAATTATATATAATATAGTGATTTGGTTTTCTGTATAAAAAGTCATTTTTCTCCTTCCCTACCCCATCAGAGCGGCATTTGGCGTTTGGGAAGTGAATCGGGACTAAATATTTATGAGGTAGGTCCTAATTTATCTGAACGCATGTCAAAGTTCAGTGGAAAATCTCAATTTAAGCTGGCGGTGGAGTGATTTTGACCTTGGTAGAGGGGGTTAGTGTCTTCAAGTTTATTTATCTTAAATATTCGGTGGACAACCCATGGTAAGATTGTTATAGCAGGCTAGGCGAGTCTCTCCCGAACACTGTGGTATGTTGCACTAGGCTTGAATACTAGTCGTTAATAAGATACAGGGTAAAATGTTATAATGGCCATCTTTTGGGAAACTCTTTTGGAGTCTCCAACCATCGTCGGTGACAATCGAAGCATCTCAAAAACTAATCCGCATAATGACACGTTTATCGTGAGTATTTTTACACAAGATTAGCCCCATTTGCTCACTATTGTACAATCTTTTATTAAAGCTAGAATCTTACAGTTGAACAACGTAAGATTTCATGCTAGAGCGATGTGCAGGTTTTAGCTATTGCAAAAGTTTGCTATTCCTTTTTAAAAAACTGCATTTAGTATTTCAAATGAACATTGCACGAACATTGCATGAACATTTGAAGCAGGAATACGGGACAATTCAATTTTGTTTATTTTTTCAATCTAAGAATTTGAACTGAAAAATGTGCGTCATAGGAAACGCAAGGGGTTTACTTTTTCGGGTTCCCTTTGAAAAATCGCAAAAGTTTTGATATATTTTGATCATTCAAAATGTTGTTTAAAACACCAACAAATTTATCAAATCTTAAAAAATTAAATCAAAGCATATTTTTCAAAACTTCAAATAAAGAAAAAATCAGTTCAGATTCAAAAATAATTCAAAGAAAATGTTGAGAACTCCAAGAAAAATAATGTGTGTCGAATAAAGAAAGTGATACGCCAAACTCAATGTTCTATATAGTACATGAACTTTTATGAATAAACTTTTGTTCATTTTTCTTGTTTGAAGTTTTAATTTTTTGCATTCTTACTTTGAACGGTATTCTGCAGTTCGAACCTATTAAAACGTTTTTCTTATTCGAACTTTTCATCATTCTATTGAAACAGTTCTATTCAAACAGTTTCTTAAAACCATGTATACAATCGAAGTCATCTGACTGGCCAAATGGAAGCCAGTGGCGTAGGAACAATGTACGCCAAAACGTAGTGTTGGAAAGTGAGAATAAAAAAGGCTTTAAATTTCCCTATATTCTTTAGTCATATTTTCTCATTGTGCTATATTGTAAAAGTATTCTCGAACACGCTAGCCTAAAGAAATGTTTTTTGGATACCATATGATATACAATCGAAGTCATCTGACTGGCCAAATGGAAGCCAGTGGCGTAGGAACAATGTACGCCAAAACGTAGTGTTGGAAAGTGAGAATAAAAAAGGCTTTAAATTTCCCTATATTCTTTAGTCATATTTTCTCATTGTGCTAAATTGTAAAAGTATTCTCGAGCACGCTAGCCTAAAGAAATGTTTTTTGGATACCATATGATATGCTCCATTTTTCAATAGTACTGTTTTGCAAGGTTTTTATGCCTCTGTTATTTTTCTAACCTGAGCCACAAATAAATGACACTTTTTGAAAAATGAAATTCATAAAATACATGTTAGAAGTGAATTCAATCTGTAAATGATTATTTATCAAATACAGCAATAATGATTACTTTGTATTTTCTACAGTATTAGAAACAAGATAACTTTCAATATCATGCTTTATTTCATGAACATTTTCATGAAAGTCTTCGTCTGCTATCTTTGAAAGTAATACAGTACACAACTTCTAGAAAACTTAGATTATTATTTGACCTTTGTGGAGCGGGGGACTTATTTGATCCTGCGAATAAGTGTTATAAAAAAGGTTGCAGGCATTAGGGTTAATTGTATTATTGATCACGATTCTTTAAATCGATTGATCATAGTTGTTTCTTCAGCATTGTAGTATTACACGGTACACGATGGAATCAGACAATACATGTATCTTAATACAATTATTAAAAAATAATTAAAAATCTCTCATTATTATCTGGAAATTGGTCGTCTATATCGTTCGAGAAAATTTACATGAGAAAAGTAAGAATGAGTTGTGGCGACATTTAAAGTATCGACTTTCCATGGTGATTTTATATGATGAAAAACATTCGAACATTTAAAACACATTAGAAAGGTATTGCAATAAAATGATGTTTTACGAGCATAAAATAGGCGTTTTGATTTAGAGGATTTGACACAATTCTTTCATACTTTTTGGCGTAGCGTTGAATTTACACCTTCCTACGCCCCTGGAAGCTATGCATGAATCCATATGGTATGACTACTAATGACACAACGTGCATGCGCATCACAGCGCGAATGTGCAAATTTCAGAACGCCGAACTGTTTGAATAGACAAGTGATCTTGCAAGTGCAATTTTGATTTCTTAATTAAATATTTTGTACCACTCTGGTTCGAACTTCTGGCATATTAGTTAAACCTTTGGATCGAAAATCGAATGCCAAAGAGTATCAAAAGTTCAAACCAAGAATGTGGTGAGTTGGATGCTAATTCAGTTCTAAATTTTATTGGTCAGCTATGCCCATGCGCTGTGACATCCTAAGTTTAATAAACACCGGATCATGAGAATCTATGTGAATTCTATCTTCAATAATTGAATTGAAACATTGAAAATATTCCTACAGAAATCTGGGCTAATCGGATAGCTTGACTTTTCACACAGGCTTATAAAAAAGGTTAACGTTCTAACTGCAGAATACCGTTTAACGTTTAAATAGAAAACACCAACTTGTTGTTTTGACATGGATTTGATTATTTTTCTTATTTGACATGCTATCATTCTCAATTGAGGTTTTCACAGATGCTATTTTGTTTACCTTGTTCGATGTGTTCAAATATTCGCTATGTGTTATTTTGCACCACTTGATTTTCTATTTATTCTCAAGTTGTTCGTTGTTTTTTAAACATTATTTCGAATATTTATGCATATAAAATGAATTTTCAATATTCAAAAAAGATTATAAAATTTACAGAGGTGACAACAGAACCAACATACACCCCTAGCTCTATAGAATGCAAAGAAGTCCAGCAACGAGGTTGTAGATCTGAGGGGGAATGCTGCGAGGGTTTACAGGGTACCAGTTTACGATGCAAAGAAAGTATATGCTGTGTGCCTGAGACTGGGCCATGTGTGGAAGATGAGGATTGTTGTAGAGGTGGAAATCTTAAGTGTACTGAAGGTCGTTGCATTGGTAAGTACTATGTATTGTGTAGCACATATAATAGCTGCTCTTCTAATGTGGTCAGACAAGGACAATTAATTATATATATATTTCAAATTATAATGTTACCATCCAAAAGATGACCATTAAATTGACGATGTGTAAAATTTTCAGAATGTTTTGATGACTGGTTTAAGAGAAACGAGTGGTCAAAAAGTTCACCATATCGATACCAATCCTTTGAGATTTGACCTTCAATTTTAAACAAAATACTCTAAACCTGGTTCACGTTTGCTCCGATCCATCGACCGGCGCCCGGCCGATTGAGTGTTTTGTTCAATATTGTATTCAATTTTGAACAAAAAAAATACTCAATCGGCCGGGCGCCGTAGTGAAAATCGGAGTAAATGTGACCAAGGCATATCGGCAAATCGCCGGCCAATGAATCGGGGCAAATGTGCTAGGTATTACTTACATTCTAACTTTCGTTCTAACTTCTGATTACAATATAGGAGAAATTTCCACGCATTTAAAAAACTCTTTTAATGTCGTTGAATCCCCAATCGTGTGGGTTAATCGGCAGAACGAGGACATTTTCGGTTTTCATCGAGAAAGATCACAACTTTTCTAGAGATGGCGGTAGGTTTTAGAAAGGGAATCACCACAATGGCATCCGGGTCTGACGCTGCAGGACCGAGAGGAGGACAGTTAAAATAAATTAAACATCACGGAAATTCGATAAAGACGAAAATTTCCTAATTTTGCCGATAAACCCAAAGGGTTGGGGATTCAACTACATAAATAGAATCTCAAATACCCTGGAATTTATTTTAATTTAATTTAAACGTGTTTTTAGCTCCCGATTGTGAGTACCCCGTTGCTCCGCAGAATGGGAGAATCGACTCCGGAAGTGCTCCGAATCAACAAGGACGATTCAAACCTGGCGAGATTGTATCATTCAGGTACTGCCATTAAAGGATGTGCCAACTTCTTAAAAATGCAAACAATTTTCGATCATTCTGACTGGCCTATGAGCTACTTCGTTTTTTAATGGTCGAAGGGAGGGGAAGCTGGAGCCCCCCCCCCCCCCCCCCCCCCGAGATTTTGACCCCTCTCCCTTAATCAGCAAAATTGTGTGAAAATATTGCTTGGCCGAAATTATGAAGAAGCAAATCCGTTTAACATTCCAATTAATATCTCTTCGATATTGTGCTTATGCTCAATGATTGACTGAAGTTTTGAATTTTGACTTTAGAAGTTAAGGGTTTTTCACTGCCGCTTTAATAGATACGATGTCACACGTTTTAGTTGCAACGACTGTTACACGCTGTCGAGAAATCCAGCTGGTCAAATTGATAAAACTGTCGAGTGCGAGTCCAATGGTGAACTTGATGGTCCAGTCCCAACATGCGAAAGTTTGTACAAGCTTTTTCCATAGAAGACTAACGTAGCACTTATATACTGCACGTTACTCTTATACAAGTATTGATATTATTACCAATGTATTGATAGTATTAAAGGACAGAGGCAAAGACTTACGCACATCACAGCAACTATACATCGGATTTTGATATATTTTATTTTATTCTATCGTCTCACAGGGCTACAGTGTATTGATATAGTAGCACCAGAAAACGGAGGACGATCACCGACAGTCGGTAATAACGCGTGCGGTGATCAGGTGACTGTTGAATGCGATGATGACTTTGAGCCAGAGGGACCAATTGTATTAACATGTGAACAAATCGGAACCTCGGTTAGTTGGGACAAAGTCCCACAAAAGTGTACAAAAGGTAAAAACAACTATTCAGGGGTACTACTGTCCCTAACGCCGATTTCGTTACTTAGCTTGGAAAAAGTACTTCGGTATCATTTTGCTTCAGACACTCTCTTGAGTATAATTTTTGATGGGATGGAAGTTTGGTATGTGAATTCCCCGGGGTGAATTCGCTATGGATGCGTTATTGAAGTGACGCCATCTATTTGGTTTCAAATATGTGTATACGATATAACGCGCGGGTCAGACATTGATATATTAAAATATCTAGAAACTAGACCAGATCTTTCTCAAACGATGAAAACATCAGTTTGCATAATTTCATCGCCTCGTATTGTACCTTACCCCGCGCGTTCAATTGTCACATTCAATTGGTAAACACCCTGTTGTAATGGGAAAATGTGAGGACAATACTTACACTTTTAATGACAGCCAAACACAATCTGGGCCATGATTATCAATGTTATATAAAAATGATGATTTCGTGATACTATGAACGGTTTACTGCTCGACCACTGATTCTACACAATTCTAGATTTTACTCAGATATCTAAATTGTTTAGGACAACAAATATCAATATTGGGCAGGCTAGATAAAATGGTTATTGCTTATTTATAGACTGTATACGAAAACCTGTTTTAAATATGAAGTCATAGATTTTCAATGCGAATACTTTTCAGAAAAAGCATGTCAAGAACTTGGTCAACCATGTGAAAATGGAAATGGAAACGGAAATGGACTTGACTGCTGCGTAAAGGTCAATGAAGTAATGGCATGTGGATTTACAGGAACATGTTTGTACATTATGCACTTTGAAATAGCTAGGCCTAAATCATCTTAAAATCTACTTTGCTCTTTTTACATCTAATCTCATTGAGTTTTCAGACTTCAGACTTCTTGTTTTGTATGTTAGGTCAACGTTTATTTTATAGGTTGTAGAGAGAGAAGTCAGAGATGTTCATCAGATGGCGATTGTTGTAGAGGTCTGGTCTGTAGTAACGTAACAGAAACTTGTGAACCACGTAAGATAACCTTATGATACTCCGATTATCGTAAGTTTAATATGATACTGTTCATCTCCAGAGTTACTTTATTTTTATTTTTCAGCAATTAGAATAAATTGCTCGAAGGCCATTGATATTGTATTTGCCGTGGATACATCCTGCTCTATTTCCGATGCTGATAAAGATAGGATTCGAACTTTTATGACAGAAATTGCTCGAGCCTTCTTCTTAAGTCCCAGTATTGAGAATGATGGCGTACAAATGGCTGCACTAACTTTTAATAAAGGAACCCAACATGTTGCATTTCTGTCAGACGTGCGCAACCCTGACAAACTTATTCAGAGTATAGAGACAATGAATCTTACTGAAGTAGACTGTACAACGCATACATTTGCAGCTTTGGAAAGAATGACGAATTTGTATTTTACTCCAGAGAGAGGGGATCGTCCTGACGCTCCCAATATAGTTATTCTGTTGTCAGATGGAGTTACTAAACCTTCTGGTAAGTATATGTTTTACAAAGTACATCGGTGTTACACCAACATACTCGATTTTATCAACTTTTTCCCAAAAATCATTTGATCAGATGATGAATTCCCCACAAGGGTGGACTGACTCTCACATCAGCCCTTTGCACAGGATCAATTCTTTAACCAAGACTCTCCATAGGAGAGTGGCTCGTGGGAATGACTATGTGAAATCATACAACAGAGTGAATAACAACCTGGAAAGACAGGTAAACTAATATTTGGTCTGGACAGCAACGGCTGCAATGTCATATATGCTGTGTGGATGTCAAAGAGCCGTTCGGTCCCACAGCACAGTGGTATAGAGCATTCGCCCGAAAAGCGATGGTTCTTTGGCTCAATCCACACTAGGATGGACTTACTTCTTCACATCAGCCCTTAACACAATTCTGTGTTTTCATTAACGTGGTTTCACATGTTTTATATTTTTGGGCACATTTCGAAAACATAAGAATGCCGCGCACGAACTGCCTCAAAATACGTAAGTACCAGATCGATGTTCATCATTTGGATGAAATGAGGTTTGTACTAAAGGCAGAATCAGATCTATAGGGAGTGACAAAATTGCAAGCGATATGTACATTGATCTACCAATATATTCCTTACAAGCTCATATATAATATCTGCCAAAAGATCTGTGATATGTTATCAGTTGGCGAAGCTATTTAAGGTTCATAATGCAAAAATGGGGGGACAGTATTTTAATCCTCCCAAATAATAAGAATGGCATGACTGTAAAAATCATTAATTTTCCTCAAATAAAGAATAACTTTGAATATTTTAGAAAATAGACATGGAATAATATGAGCCCACAATATTCTAAAATTAAAACAAGTTTCGTCAAGAATAAGCACCAAAGTGATGAAAGTAATTGCTACAGTACATCTGATTCTGCCTTTAATGATGTTCATCATTCAATGTACTTAGCTTTATCATTTTTCTATTATTACATTGTTCATCAATGGATATGTACTGTACAGAATATGCATTGGTACTTACTGATAATGAATCATTTACAACGTCTCAGGATTCCGACTCTGAAAACAGAATTGAAATCCGACTTCCGGTTCAGGATGTAAGACCTTTCAAGTTCAAAATCGTCAGATTTTCGAAATCGTTTTTCTTATATCAAATAAGAGATAAAGATCTAAGGTCAAGGTCGAAATCTCAGTCATTTTCTTTGATTTTGCGATTTCCGCACTATACTTTCATATTTTTGTGTGTACTGTTAGAGAAGAATGATAGGTATCCAAGATCAGTTTTGAGATATGATGTACAGAAAGTAGGTCAAGAAAAAAGTTATCAAAATTTTGAGATACCATCAGGATTCCGAATCTGAAACCGCCGCCACCAAATTATTATAATGTTTTATGGCTATAATGTGTCTCCGCTGGTTGATCTTCGAATAATTTTACTATTTTGATGTGATCAATTGTCAACCTCATACTTTCAAGAAACATTGTAACAATATTATTAGGAAGAGCTCATTAATGATCTTTTAAAGGGGATCATCATTTTCCATAAGCTATAGAATGATATGGGAATGTATGATAACTGTAAAAATAAAAAAAAGTTAAGGGGGAGAACAGACTTATTCGACGTTCTGAAGTCAATAAAATGTTTTAAAGTATATTAATGTTTTTTGGATGAAATCCCTCTCCTTTACCTGCGAGCGGCCATTTAAAAAGTGCAGATATTTTAATGTCGTATGAATTTGGCTAGTAAGCAGCAATTGTTAAAAATTTAGTCCATTTTTATGAGTACTATTTTTCGTTTTTGCTATGTCTGAAAAAGGAGTGGAATGGTTTTGTTGAAATTTTATAGCATTGGCTTTAGGTCAAGACTGATGTTGACCTCTTCCACACCATCTGCGGCGTACAAGACCAGATATTCTAATCGGATTAAAACATAAACTCAGATAGTCACATAATAATTTGCCCCAACAACACCCCGATCAAAATGCCTCAAATCGCTACATTACCTACACTTCCCTCCATAAGTTTGGCAGCCTTAGCTCTCCCGTTGAACTATGTGTTAAAGCCTCTTTACGTTCGAATTTTTTATTTACTTAACTGGCGATGAAATAACTTAAATTATTGATGGAAATGTAACTTGACTTTATTTCCAATATCTCCAAGTTTTCTCAATTTTTTCCTCAATTACAATAGACCGAAAATTGATGATAAAGGAGTGGTATCGATATCACACGTGAACACACGTTTCTCTTAAACCAGTCATAAAAAATCTAAAAATTCAACACATCGTCAATTTAATGGTCATCTTTTTCATCTATATTGTTTTAGAAAACCCATCAAACACATGTTTTGTTCTTGGTATCATGTTTCCATAGCGAAATGAAACATCTTTCCGAACCTCATTGGAACAAAACGACATAAACACAACATGTTTTGGTCTCTCAATATTGTAATTGTACAAAGGAAATTTTGGTTGATTTTAAAAAAGTATCTTGTTAATGAAATAAAAGTTTTTTCTTAATTTTTATCAGGTAAAAAGAATCAAAAACAAATGCATTAAAAAAAATGTTAACAAAAACAGTTATATAAAATATTTCTAAATAATTTTCGCATTAAATTGTTGTCAATCAGTCAACATTATATAAATTACCGTGTTTATTACAGAATGTTTTCAATGATTGGTTAAAGAGAGAAACATTGTTGAATTCAGTTCTTCATATCGATACCACTCCTTTGATGAACTTTTTAAAATCGTCACTCCCATGTAATGCAATGGGAAATCGAGCTTTCGGGGCATTTTCAGTAAAAGATGGATGGATATTCTGTCATATGACTTGCGGCAAACCTAGCATTTCTCACAGGTTAACGTGGGAATGTAGATTTTCAAAAATTCATCAAAGAATGGGTATCGATATGGCGAACTTTTTGAAGACACGTTTCTCTTAAACCAGTCATCAAAAATTTCTGCAAATCACACAAGTTATCAATTTAATGGAGATCTTTTGAATGGTAACAATATAATTTGAAATAGATATACTTGTTTTGTTCTTGGTATCATGTTTCCAGAGGGAAATGAAACATCTTTCCGAACCTCATTGGAACAATAACGACATAAACACAACATGTTTAGGTCTCTCAATATTGTAATTGTACAAAGGAAATTTTGGTTGATTTTAAAAAAGTATCTTGTTAATGAAATAAAGTTTTTTCTTAATTTTTATCTATTTTGGGGGGATTTTGTCTTAATTTTTTGAATACTTTTTTAAAATCAACCAAAAATTTCTTTGTATAACTTTAATATTGAGAGGTCTAAAAACATGTTGTATATGCTATTTTGTTCAACCAAGGTTCGGAAAGACATTTTATTTATTTCTCAAGAATTGGTAGAAAGGAGCAAAAACAATTGCACTAAAAAAAACAAAAAATGTTAACAAAAAGTTATATAGAATATTTCTAAATAATTTTCGCATTAAGTTGTTGTCAATCAGTCAACATTACATAAAATACCATGTTTTTTACATAATGTTTTCAATGATTGGTTTAAGAGAAAACATTATTGAAGACAGTTCTCCATATCGATACCTATCCTTTATCATTAATTTTCGACTTATTGTAAATGAGAAAAAATTAGAAAATTTGGAGGTATTGGAAATAAAGTCAAATTACGTTTTCATCAATATTATAAGAATTTTGTATAGCAGGTTAAGTAAATAAAATTAACACGTAGTTAAGGAGCTGAGGTTGTCACATTTATGGAGGGGAATGTATATCTTATTTTAGAACGTTTCAACCCGACCATCGACCGTTTTACGTTTTAGGTCGAGATAAGACAAGTTGAAAACTAGTTTTGTGTGACTGAGAGATAGCTATAGCTTTCTTCGATGTTTCTGACCACAATGTTCCATTTTAGGCAGAACAAAAGACACATTTAAGAACGCGGATGCCCTAAGAGCCACTGGCGCGGAACTCCTGGTGGTTGGTCTGCCTCAGGGCTGTAAGCCAAATAAACCTAACTGTGTACCACAAGTTATTGGACAAGAAGAATGGACGCGTATTTCTGGAGCTAGTACCAATCCAGAGCTCATGTTTAACATATTAAGCGCAGACTTTACAAAACTCAGAGACACCATTAAGCAAATTGGGAATCGGGTCTGTGGTCCAGGAAGTGTAATAGTCTTAAGAGTCAAAATTAAATAGAACAAACCATTTTTGTTGCAAATGAAACATGGTAAATAAAGAAATATGATTGCTTCTAAGATGTAAGTTGTTTATTAATGCATAACCTAATCCTGATCCGATTTCGTAACAAAATGGCACAACAGTTATTCGAAAAAATATGTGAGATGAAGGCAAAATCATTTCTACCTTTTTTGGCACAAACGTAATTCATGGTCTTATGTTTCAGAAAATGTAAACTTTTTCGAACGAATCACTGCGTAAGACTTTAAAAGCATCAATATACTTCCTCACTTAAGTTACGTAAATGAAGTCAGAAAAATACGAAAACGGGCTCATATCTTGGTTCAGTGAATACGAAAACTGATACAGTTCCTATATAATATACCAGCTGGTCTGTCTGAAATACCGCATTTTTAAGTTTTATTTTTGTAATAATTGTATGAACATATTTCTAGTCCTACCGAAATAAGAAATATTGTCTGATGGACCTAGTCCCTAATAAACTCCTGGGGAATACAGCCCCAAGTGGTAGACTGTGTATGTATGTATGTGTGTATGTACTGTATGTACTGTATGTATTAGTCCATGGTATGACATCTCTAAGACGTCTGATAAAGGAGCTGGTAGCACACTATAGCGCAGCGATATTTGACCTAACATTAGCATACATACATACAGGGTGTCCGGAAAGTAAAGATACAAATGCTCTTACTTTAAGAAATTTGGGTCTTTTGAAATGAAACTGCTTCTGATTGTAGAGAAGGTGTATTACAATTTATTATGCACCTCATTAAAATACTCAAATCTGATTGGTTCTTAGTTGCTTGTAATTTGGCAATACTCTGCTCTTTTCTGAAAACTGCCGGATATTTTTTTAATATCTGACACTTTCGAGAAAAAGGGTCGGATATTTTTTTCAATGTTTTTGCAACATTCCCACTTCAGAGTTTTATTTCTTAATAACTGGAGTACTACTTAAAGCTTACATCTGAAACTGGCGGAAAATAGAAGAAAAAAATGCACTTAATCAATCACAATTACCCTTATCATTCAAAAGTTACATATAATTCTGCAAGAACGTCTCGAATAAATAAAAATTAAATTCCCGGAGCAAATATTTTCGTCCAGTGTAGCGAATAAACTGGCCGGAAAGAAAAAATAAAAAAATGTCAACTAAACTGTAAGTACTCCACTTAACTTTGATTGGGAGGTGCATAATAAAACAAATACTGGATGATCAAAAGCTATATATGGCCAGAATACCTATCCTCGAAAAAATATTGGGCTCGGCTGCCACCTCGCCCAATATTTTTTCTCGAATAGGTATTCTGCCATATCCAGCTCCTGATCATCCAGTATTTGTTTAATATCTACCAACATTCATCACATATAGTCTTAACGTTTTCAAGTTACGGTTGTTATGGTTACGACTGTGAGAGGTATGTGGAGCAGTTCCAGAACATCGCTAAAATGTGAAAAATTGCTAAAATACAAACATCTGAAACAGTGTTTTTGTTGTATTTTCTATCAATGTTTTGCTTTGTTCATTGTTTGTTTTATTACTGCCATAGTTTTTCTGTTATATAATGATGCCATTGTCTCTTAATTAGTTGGAAAGTCAATATTGCATCTCTATAATACAACAATTCACAAAGCGCAAAGAAAACATTTCTTACAATCGATTGTCTTGACATTAGACCTTTCTATACAATGCCCCATATTCACCTGATAGAGCCTTTTTTGACTTCTGCCTAATGACCATCTGAAAGCAATATTTGTAAGAAGTTCAACATACAAAATGAGTCTCAGCTGGAAGTCAATGTTATCAGCAATTTGAGAGACGGACAGCAATGATTTTGTCAAGTCTTTGAATCTCCGGTCAAGATGCACCAAAAATGTTTAGATAATGGGGAAAATATTGAATATTCAATGATAGTAGTTATATGAAGAGATCAAATAATGTTACAGTACTAATCCTTATGCTGTTGAAGTATATAATTTGATGTAATATAGGAAAAGATGGTAGAATGCCAAGATGTTATGAGCAGGAAAGAGATTTGTAAAACACATTTGTGACGTTGCTCCACATACCCTCGACTCCCGTTACCATAACGACCATAACTTTTTCATTTTAAAACTAAAATTCATGACCGTTGCAGGATATATTGCTATAATGTCATTCTACATTCTGGAGCAATTTTATCTCATAACAGGTAAATCTCTTAAAATGAGAGCATTTGTATCTTTACTTTCCGGACACCCTGTATGTTCCCTAATAATTTTTTATTATAACCGTTTAATATACTTCCGGCTTTTAGGCTGAATTATGCCTGCCATTAAAGATATTCTAATTTTTCGGTTCATTATACATTTATTTCAATCATATTGCAGTCAAAAGAGTTACACAGGTCGCTGCCTAGCGCAATGTGCAATACAGGCTAGCGTTTTGAAATGAATATAAATTAAATTAATTTAATTAATTGAGTGAGTTATACATATAAATGTGCTAACTAGTTGCCTACACCTAATGGTGAAAAGTAAATCAAAATAAAATAGGTTAGGTTAAGCTAAGAATAAAATCAACGAACCTTCCTTTTAGTTGAGAATCTTGTTGAATTGAGAATGAATTTTTGAAAATTAAAAATTCAATTTTGTCTTGTCCACTGAGATGGGTCTCAAGGTTTTGCTGCTCAAGGGTTTCTTCAAGGTTTTTCCTTTGTGTTGAATGGCGCTTACATTGCAGAATCAGGTGTTTAGGGGTTGCACTCTTACCACAGACACATAGATTAGTTGTGTTGGGAAAATTATGAGCAAACTTTTGTGATTCAAAATAGAGTCCGCATCTAATTCTGTTTAAGGTAATTTCTTGTTTTCGAGAAAGATTGAGTTTAGAAGTTGTATTGAAGTCATTAAACTTTGAAGATTTCTTTTTGATTTTACTTTTGAACAAAGAGATGGTGGGAGTAGACCTCTCTTCTAGTGATAACTTATTCCATTCAGAGATCAATCTTAGCACTGGTCCATTAATTAGTCGTGCACTTGATTTAACCGGTATTTGGAAAGGTCTATGGGTTCTGAGAACCCTTCTTTGCTCAGATTTATAATGGTCAAAACATTCAACAATATAATCGGGTGCCATATTTCTACAAATTTTAAACATAATAATGAGATTTTTGTCTCTCCTTCTGGACTCAAGTGGTTTCCACTTCAGGCAATCAAGAGTTTTAAGAGTACTTGATCCATGTAATGCCCCAGAGCAGCTGAGTGCTGCTCTATAGTGCAATCTGTCGAGTTTTATCAAATTTTGAGCTGTGCTTGAGCCATAGATTGAACTAATAGTCCAGGTGTGGTAAAATAAAGGAGTTATATATAAGTTCAAGGTACCTAGATTTTAATTTATAAGATAGTGATTTCAGTGGATTGAGTTGTTTTTGCACCTTGCTGGCAAGTTCACTTATATGTACATCAAATTTTAAGCGGTGGTCAAAAGTGAATCCCAGGTGTTTATGGGAAGTTTTGTATGGGATTTCAACACCTTCAAAGAATAAGGGCATAATGTCAAAATTATTAATATTCTTGGGTTGGAATATCATGTGAGCACTTTTTGATGCTTTAAATTGTAAATGCCATTTAATAGACCACTGTTCAATTATGTTCAGATCATGTTGCAGGTCAAAGGTTTGGTTATCATCGATATTGAAAGAGGCATAGGCTGACGTGTCGTCCGCATAAATATAACATTCTGATCTGAGGTTGTCAGGAAGATCGTTTATGTAGATGAGAAATAGGAGTGGCCCAAGGACAGATCCCTGAGGTACTCCTGTGTTAATGTATCCGATATTTGAAAAGTTGGATTTTACATCATCAACTGTTACACAGATTTTTCTTTCTGAGAGGTAAGATTTAAGAAGTGTTAGGGTCATACCAGAAATTCCGTAAGATTCTAGTTTATGGAGAAGTAGAGAGTGCGGAACAGAATCAAACGCAGAACTGATATCAAGGAAACAGGCATTTACACATTTCCCTTTTTCGAATTCATTCAAAATAAAGTCAATGATAGCCGTAATTTGGAGTTCAGTATTATGACCAGCTAAGAATCCGGATTGTTTTGCAAAGAGTAGTTTGTTTCTAAAAATATGCTCCGTATTTGAGAGTGGACAACTGTCTCCAGGATTTTTGAAAATCCTTGAAGTAAAGTTATAGGTCTATAATTTTCAATAGCTGATCTGTCGGTTTTTTTGAAGATGGGGATGGTGTTGCCTTCCTTCCATATAGTTGGAAATTCTCCAGTCTTGAAGATAAGATTAAAGAGGTCAGCAAGCTTAACTGATAGTGATGGGGAAGCTAATTTGATCATATCATTGGTTACATTATCTAAGCCAGCTGCTTTATTCTTTTGAGTGATTTAATAATAAGGTCAAGGTCTTCTGATGATGTGCTTAAGTTATCCATTTTGATATGGGTTCTTTTATTAAATTGTGGGAGTGAATGGTCAAAATTGTGGTCAGTGTGATATTTTGATGTAAAAAAAGATAGAAACAAATTTGCCTTTTCAAGGCTTGTAGTTGCAAGTAGATTCCCAAAAATCAAAGAGGGAAATCCAGTATAGTATTTTCTATTTAAAGGGTTCCGATTAGCATCCCGTATAAAAACAATATGGCGGCTCCAGGCGAATCAACTGGATCAGTCCATTTTTAAGAAATAAGGGGAGTTCTGTAAAATCCAGTTTATTGAAATTGTCTTTGAGATAAAGTAATCCGTTTATAATGATTTTGAAAACGTTATCCAAAGAGTGATTGCGTTCAAAGAATACATGTACAGCAGCCAATATAAATCCTTGTATCAGAAACCGGTTTGTCTTGCTTTGTTTCATTTTGTAGGATATTTCATATGCCAAGCTGTGTGCTATTACGTTATGGGGAAATTTAGATGCCAATTTTTCCTTATTATACACAAATAGAAGATCCTGAAACTTCACCCATAAATGTGGAATTGATTTGTCAAAATAAAAATCACCCTTTTATAAATGTGTGACAATCTATAATATACTTATGCTATATAACAGTTAGAGGTGTTGACACAACGACCTCGAACCTGTAAACCCTTGAGTATTATTCCGGGATCGGGCCTTTTATACTAAACGGTGAGCAACACCAGAAACGAGCGTTCGATTTGCTAAACGATATGCGTCACCCTTTAAAAGTTTTTGAATGATTGCCCAGTATTTGTTGTTTCCATTATCTTCTGCCTCAAGGTTGTCACATATTTTGGAATGGTAATTTTCTTTTGCTTCAGTGATTTTATCTTTAACTTGCTGAGCTAAAAGTTTATAGTTATCATGGTCAATCTGCTTCTTTGAATTTTTGAACCGTTCATAAAATTGTGATTTTTTCCTAATCAGGTGTTTAATATCGTTATTTATCCAAGGTTGATCTTTTGAATTAAAGGTAGTTATTTTATTTAGAATGTTTTGTTCAAAGATGTTAAATACATCTCTAGTAAATGTTTCTGTTAATTGGTCAATATCATTGCATTCATTATATCTTTGTTCAATGTTTATGTCAAATATTTGGCTGTTTATTCGCTCTATGTTAGACTGGTCATACTTCCAAATACGTTTTTGATGTTTAGAAGTTCCTAAAATTTTCATTGGAAATGTAAGTTCCAATGTTGAATGGTCAGTACAGCCTATTGGATGAGTCACTTTAGATTCCCTTATCAGATCAGGTGAATTAGTTATTGCTAGGTCAATACATGATCGTGATTGATTAGTTATTCTTGTGGCTTCATGGATAAGTTGAACAAGGTTACATTCCATCAAAATTTCATCAAGTCTTTCCCCATTTGAATCAGTTTGCCCCTTAGACCACCATTTTTTGTTCTTAGAGTTAAAATCCCCATTTATCAGTAGGTAATCACAGTGGCATTTAGAGGCCTGCTTAATAGTGTTTTCAGCGGTATCAAAAAATATATTTTCTTGATTTTTATCTAAATTTGGAGATTTGTAGTAAATCCCATATAAAATTTTAGTATTTTTATATTTAATCTCTACCCAAATGCAGTCTGTGGTATCTAGGTCAGGTCTTGGTTTCACCAATAGTTCCCGCCTAACATAAATCAATAATCCTCGATTGTTTTGGTTATATAATGGTGGGTGAAATTCATCGCCAAGAGAAAATCTTTGATCAATCACATCATTCGTATACTTCCCAGCTTCACAGATCCCTACAATACTAATTTGATTAGATATAACTCTATTAAGAGATATTCTAATGAGACTTCTCCGTGGCATTTTTCTTTATTCCTTTTTGTTTTGAATTTGTTACACCATAACATTAACTAACTACTCAAAATGCAACTTTTCACCACGTAGAATTTTAAAATATTAAGTTTGAAAATTCCATTTTTATAATGGAGCTCAATGGGAAAAACGACATAATTTGAATTATTTTGAAATGTAGCGGCGCGATTTTCTTGAAATTGACAGATATAATAAATATTGGTAAGACGAAATGTTTGAAGAAAAATGAAGAAAATTCACCATCCTGGTTACGCAAAATATGCAAAAATATTAAATAATCATAAAAACATGTAAAAATAGATTGAAGGGGGTGATAATCATTTTTAATGTGACTTTCACTACTACAGGGTAACCATAGTTTTGGTAATGGTTTATCAATTTTAAAAGCATATCTTCCAGCATATGTATCAAGCACAAGTAATACAATAAGTGAGTTATCATTAATTGGAATGGTATTATTGCATTTCTTAGCAATGATGACAAAAAGGTAAAATCGATCGTATCACATACCCTCAAGTCGATCTATTATAATGCATATTAAACAATATAGCACTAGATCTTCAAATTCGAGAATTCAGCTAAATTGTAAGATAATAAATGAATTGCTAATCCCTTATAACTGTAAAACCCCCTTCTCCGAATCATACTGAATTATGATATTTCGGTATGCTTATTTTAGCTGCTGTAGTTTAGGTCACTTGATGAGATAATAAGTAACATGCTTTCACTAGAGACAAAACTTGACACTAAATAATCACTCAAAATAAACGATATGAATTTTTCATATTTTCTTCTTTGGTAATACATCCATTCTTGAAAATTAGCATTCAAATCTTTTCAATGCAATCATGAATTTAGTGATCTGACCCCTAAAATGCTTTTCAGGGGGGAAAGTTTGTCCACCTGTAGCCCTTGTAGCATCTTTTTCTAGCCATATTTTCCTAGGCCTGCTGGAATACCTATTTCAGTGTTCAAGTTTAGCATTGTTTTCCCATTGATCATTTGAGTTCTCACTTCAATAACATTTGGACATAAAAATGATGAGATGTCAAAAAGAGTAGTTTATTTATTGTAAAACATCAAAAATAAAACAAGGTTTGGTCAGGAAGGGAACAGGTGAAATCCTTGGGATATATGAATTAATTAATTATAAGAAACATATTCATGTTTCTACAATTTATGGTAACCCTGTGTATTATTCTACTGCACATGGTTATACCAGTGCAAATTATTACAAAAATATTATTTACTTATTATCATAATTCAATGTGACAATATCAGTCTTATCTTCAAATTTGTCTATAATAGTTTGCCTGTAAGGTTGAGCAAGCAGTCTGTTGCATTGATAGTATAAGATGTTGATTTTGCAAAGCTTTTATGGGCTAATTCTACAATATGTACAGTAACATATATGTAAGGGTGCCAGTATGTAGTCCAGTATATAGTAAACAAAGGAGTATTTTGGTCAACTCAATACATCTGATACACACTACATGAAGTGTTTTCTATGCAATGATTATAATGATACAGGCACTTATTCATTGTTACTGCGAATTTCAAAAGCCTCCAAATTGTGTGGAATAGAGCATGCAATGTTTTTCAGTTTCAAGCAGGTTTTAGTACATTCTGACCAATCGCAGTAACAATGAATAAGTGCCTGTATATAATCATTGCATAGAAAACACTTCATGTAGTGTGTATCAGATGTATTGAGTTGACCAAAATACTCCTTTGTTTACTATATACTGGACTACAAACTGGCACCCTTACATATGTTACTGTACATATTGTAGAATTAGCCCATAAAAGCTTTGCAAAATCAACATCTTATACTATCAATGCAATAGACTGCTTGCTCAACCTTACAGGCAAACTATTATAGACAAATTTGAAGATAAGACTGATATTGTCACATTGAATTATGATAATAAGTAAATAATATTTTTGTAATATTTTGCACTGGTATAACCATGGGCAGTAGAATAATACACAGGGTTACCCTAAATTGTAGAAACATGAATATGTTTCTTATAATTAATTAATTCATATATCCCAAGGATTTCACCTGTTCCCTTCCTGACCAAACCTTGTTTTATTTTTGATGTTTTACAATAAATAAACTACTCTTTTTGACATCTTATCATTTAGCTGAATTCTCGAATTTGAAGATCTAGTGCTATTTTGTTTAATATGCATTATAATAGATCGATTTGATGATATGTGATATGATCGATTTTACCTTTTTGTCATCATTGCTAAGGAATACAATAATACCATTCCAATTAATGATAACTCACTTATTGTATTACTTGTGCTTGATACATATGCTGGAAGATATGCTTTTAAAATTGGTAAACCATTACCAAAACTATGGTTACCCTGTAGTAGTGAAAGTCACATTAAAAATGATTATCACCCCCTTCAATCTATTTTTACAGGTTTTTATGATTATTTCATATTTTTCTATATTTTGCGTAACCAGGACGGTTAATTTTCTTCATTTTTCTTCAAACATTTCGTCTTACCAATATTGATTATATCTGTCAATTTCAAGAAAATCGCACCGCTACATTTCAAAATAATTCAAATTATGTCGTTTTCCCATTGAGCTCCATTATAAAAATGGAATTTTCAAACTTAATATTTTAAAATTCTACGTGGTGAAAAGTTGCATATTGAGTAGTTAGTTAATGTTATGGTGTAAAAAATTCAAAACAAAAAGGAATAAAGAAAAAATGCCACGGAGAAGTCTCATTAGAATATCTTTAACAGAGGTAAAAAAAATTGCCAAAAAATAAAATCCCAATCAATTTTTCACAATTTGGAGTACACAATGTAACAGAAAATAATACAAAATTATTTTAAATATATGATTTAGGTTTCTTAGCTATACGTTTTAGGTTATTTTTCTTATCAATACCAAACAATTATGTAATCAGTGTATCGACGTTTTGTATTGTTTCTCTGGTATTAGTAAGATAAAAGCTACAAATGAATCACTTTTAAATTAGAATGACAAATGCTTAAATTATGCTAGTTTTTCACAAAATGGGTCTCAATACGTTTTGAGCTATGGACTTTTATTCAGCGGTGAACATTATCAATGAGGGAGGGGCTATTGCTCTTCCTTGACTAACTGGGACTGCAGCTAAAATTCTATTTTTCGTAGTAAGATATACTGTAGCTCAGTTGCTTATGAAACAACCATCAAGACTTGGTCGAATTCATGAATAATTGAGAAAAATCGTCATCACTATCTTCCTGAAATTTGATTATATCCAGCGGTAAAGTCAAAGAAGAAACAACCATCAGAAAACTTGATGATAACCAGCAGTAACGTCGAGTAAGAATACCTCTGTACCATTTAATTAGATTAAATTCTGGTAGCCATCTTGACCCCTTGCGATTATATTACCTATTTGTTATTTTATTGTGTTTTATAAGACATGAACAATAATTTGTTGTTTGACCCCTTGCGATTATACGGAAAATTCTGATAATTAAATGTTTTAAATGGTAAGAAAACTAATATGTTCGCAATCATAAATTACCTAAATATTCCACACAATTTTGTTGAATCTGCTTGGCTCATATTTGAAAAATCAAACAAAATCTGAAAAACACACTTGCGTAATTACACTAATTAAACACCGACATATACAGTAAAATTATAGTATATTTTTACATTATGATAATATCTTTTTTGTTCGTATGCTTAGAATATGATATGATATGATTCTTTATTTCCTCCAATTTGGAGAGTAAATTAATACAAAAACAAAATATTAGATAACAGTATATACATAAGATACAATATGTGGCGAGATGAGTAATATAAGGTGATATTTGCTTACGACGTGAATTCTTTAAGCATAACGCTGATTATATTGGAACAAAGGTTAATAAATTTTTGCCATTTCGCAAAATCGTAATTCTGTAATACATCTGTGCGACTACCCAATGAACATTCTACTAAGACATCATCGTCATCAGAGTTTAACATGTTAATTGAGTCTTCAACAGGTAATAGATTAACAATATTTTCAAAAAATGTATCTCTTGTTGCACTTATGATTCTAAAATGAAGTGTTTGACAATGTCGTTTGTTGTTTTGGCACGGGCTAGGCAATACTGTTCAGTAGAGAGTACAATGAGATATAATAATTGGGCATATTCCCATAATCTGGAGGGATCCATTATCCCAAGTTTCCAATGAATAATTGGCTCATGGTCTACGTGGGTGTTAGCAAACCTGAGGTATAGTCCCGGATCTGGTCCCTGTGAAAACAAGTTTTGTTGTCCGGTACTTTCCCACATAAAATTATTGTACCGTTTGACAGAACAGACTTCCCTCATAAAGAAAATACCTCTTATATTGATAGAAACAGGGGCAAAAGGCACCAAAATGGGGTTAGACAAGGTGGCATTCTGAAGTCTCACTTTATAGTCATCACGATTCCAGGAAAACCACCTGATGGATTTACTTCAAATTTTCACACATGTTACATGGTATGAAGTTCTAAAGCTGATGACTTTTCAGCAGCCATCTTGCATTTTGGCGGCCATCTTGAAAGTTTTGTAATAAATCTTGTCATCGCGATTTCAGGAAA